AAAGGCCTCGTTTAGGTGAAGGAACTGATTTCTTGATTATTCAGAAATCGTGCAAAGTCGCTTCTCCAATCATGTTATGCGCAGATAGTGATGATTCGCGGATCATGACTGCCTTCAACTGGGTTGATTGCTTGAATCAGAGAATAAGTTATTGAATTTCGCACTGGTGTTCCTTCCCTGTCCGAGCTGAACGACGATGCCCCTTCCCCCTTTACGAGTTCAGGACTGGTGCTCCTTTCCCATGACTTACGTGCTCATCATCAAAGCTGAATCTGAGAACGAGTCCAACGACGATGCTGCACCCGAGTGCAAGTTTAGCACTGATCCTCCTTCCCAGCACGAGTACGGCTCCATCATTTCGAAGACGCATGAGCAGATCATCATATTGACATTGAATCATATCCTAAAAAAACGCGAGCTGGCGAGGAGCAGCCACCCCTCAGCCACCCGGGGTGGCTGCTGGGTGGCTGATTTTCGCCACCCCCCCGGGTGGCTGGGGGGTGGCTGATTTTGCCACCCCGGGTGGCTGATTTTGCCACCCCGGGTGGCTGAGGTGTGGCTGATTTCGCCACCCCGGGTGGCTGAGGGGTGGCTGCTCGTCGCCACCCACCCCACTTGTAAGGATATGAATCGGACTCGGACACTGACACCATCATCACAACCGACAATACGGAGTCGCTTTGCTTGCATCGTTGATCATTTTCCCCCTACAGAATCCGGGCGAGACACGATTGCTGAAAGTCAATTCCCGCTGAGGAGCGAAGCTTCGCTAATTTTGAGATTCCTCAACAGAGCCAGTTAGTGCATGTTGCGCAAAATCATGATTTTGTTTTGTTTTTCCGACTCTGGCAAAACAGTTGGCTGTGCCCTTCAATTGCCAATCGTGATGATCCTGCCGGATTTTGCACCAGATCTCGTGATGAGTTGTGACACATACTTACGCGAATATCTAGATCAAGACAGAATACAATTCGTGTTCATGACATCTGATCATGGCTGTCGTAACGTGAGTGGCCCATTAGTGAAACAGGCCCATTAGTGAAACGAAAATGGATGACATCGACGCATTTATCAGCTCAGACAGCTCGGCAAGCGGCTTTACAGGGGTCAGGGGTAAATATAATGACATTGATGACGAGATCGACCTCCTCCAGAGCACATCATGTCACCAGGTCCTCAGAGGGGGCTTCAGGTGATCATGCCATACTCGTAACTTTTGCCTCACTAGTGGGCCACTCACTTTACATGATAGAATTCATGATTGGGCCAGCAAGGAAAAAAAAAAGAACACGAATCATGAATATTTTCAAAGCCTATGGACCTTGACTCGGCCATAAGTTAATCCGTCAGTCCGTTGGAATACGAGGCAAAAGGGATTAGTTACAAACGTCACACAATACTTTATGTAACTTAACTTGAGTTATTCTTCGAACTTTTCAACGCATCCGAGTCTCGGATTCATGACATTTGAACCTCTGAAGAGGTCATCCACCGGATTTGCGGTCAGCTTCATGCTAGGCCGCTTTTGCAAATAAACTTTCCGGCGCCCACCTTAGACGGTCGCCAATTATCGCGAAGCGGCCCTGGTAGCCGATGAATCATGATCACAGATCATGGGCCATGACTCGTTTCCGAGTGGCTACCGTGATGTGGGAATTTTTCCTTTCCGAATCACGCGTCTGTATCACGACCGTGCACGAGGCACGATCTCAGTTCGTAGTTATCATTCATATCCTAAGAAAACGCGAGCTGGCGACGAGCAGCCACCCAGCAGCCACCCCGGGTGGCTGTTTGGGATCAGCCACCCCACAGCCACCCACACACACACGGGTGGCTGCTGGGTGGCTGCTCCTCGCCAGCTCGCGTTTTCTTAGGATATGATTTCTTCCCAAAAAAGGAGAGGAACGTTTCGCAAAACGTGTGGAACCCCCTCCTGGGTGACTGAGAGAAAGCTGGACTCGTAGCTACTTTGGGTGGGCAGACATGCACCACGAGCGAGGCGGTCTCGTATGCCCCGCGGTTCATGCATACATACCCTGAACGAACGCAAACTGGCAAATCATGAAAACCAATCAGGCATCAGCCAGCTAATGCAGCCACGCACGCGCATCGCGCGTCAAAGGTTCGTGGTAGATAGCTGGCTGCTCGTCGCGGTACCGTTTTTTGAGGATACGATGGTGTGTGCGTCGTCAGGCACGAAGGACGAAGAGTCAGTACTGACCGGACTTATACTCACGACTTTCATATGCACATCACATGTATGATTTGGCGCGGCATATCCCGAGAAGTGACGAGCAGGAAAGGTGAGTGTTGCGGCCCAGCCGCTCGTGGCTATCTCCTCGTCTGTGTGTGGGTCATGGTGATTCAGTTACATCACGCACATCTCTCGTTCCTGGGACGCGGAGCCTGACAGTGAATCATGAATCCTACATGGTTTATATGCATCGTGCATGGCGGATCGCATCGCGCCAACATGAGTAACAGGACCACGTGTCCCGGCTTTCGTGCCTGATGATTCGGCTCACAAGTGTCCACGTGGCTCGAGCATGGTGGGCTTTCTTCATGCTTCTCACGTTCCACATTTGAGAGCTGCTTCATGGCGTACGCGCTGACCTCATGACGAGGGCTGTGAGTGAGTCGGATTCGGAGTCGCCAAGGATCCACAATTGGGGTCGCAACAAAACATCCGATCAAGGCTGCTTTCTCTTGACAACGGCTTGTCTTCTTTCATCCCCGATCGGGCGGGGCAGCTGCCGCTTTCAAGCCGAAGCCATGAGTGACAGTGAGAGGGCGCATAGACATCCATCCCAAACAACAATGTGAGAAAAGAAGCCAAGCGAGACAGACAGATGCTGCGTTAGTGAGCTGCCAAGGCAATGATACAGACGAAATCGCGAATGCTAGCGGAGACGGCGCTTACCTTCTCCTCGGATGGAGCATCCATTCGGGTTTGCGGCTGGTTGAGACCAGGCTCCACTGACCTGCTACCGACTTGCCAAGGTCCATGAGGATGATTGTGGAATTGGCTGGTACTCCGCTCTGAGGGCGGTGCATGTGGATCGGTATGGAAGGAGAGGTCGCCGAGGGCTGCAGGGCTGGCGAGAGATGCGGTGATGTGACCGTTGCCAATTGCGAAATTGTCGAGAGCCAGACGGGCCAAGGAAGCGCTCGAACGACAGCAGTAAGCAACCAAAGCTTGGCTGGCCATCGATGAAGGATGACACTGTGCAGAGTGAAGCAGATACTGCACGTTTCCGAAGGGCTCGGTCAGAGCTCTCACAGCATCCGAAGAGGGGAAGACGGCTGTGTCGAGTCCGGAGAGCTTGAGAACTGCCTCGTGTTCTCCTTGCTGAAAATTCTGGGCCGCTTCCCGGTGGGGCCGTTCGGAGTGAGGGGCTGGAACGGGTGTGTCTGTTGGCGGTGAGCCTTCATACGACTGCATATGGATGAGGAAACGACACGAATCAGCACAGTCGAGCTGGGAGCTTGCACTTGTAAATGAACGGCCACACGCTGGGTATCCTGAACTGACCTGTTGGGGCGGTTTCGGTCGGCGAGGTGGCTCTACAGCATCCTGGGCCTCGTGAGGGAAGGGCGTGCCACTCCTTTGCACGATGGCGAACGAGACTTCGATGCGGTAGCGATGCCAGGAATGGCCGTTCAGGTTCTCGATGGCGGCGCGCGCCTCATCCGGGCTGGACATGAGGATGAAGCCGCGTCGTCGCGCAAGATGGTCAAGCGTGGCGAGGATCACCGCATGCTCGACGCGACCGTATCGGCTAAAGAGAGCCTCGAAGTGGTCGGTGGTAGCGTCGAGAGGGAGGTTCAAGACGTAGAGGTTGCGCAAAGCACGATCGCGATCAGGTCTCATTGGTGTGAGGATATCGAGGGACAGAAGGGAGGTGGCGACTTGCACGAAGCAATGGAAGCGATCGCGAGGAGTGGGAAGGGCGCGAGAGGAGCGACGACTGGGAACAAGGATTGGACCTGCCGATTCGGGACGAGGGGAGGAGAAGGAGCGAGCTAGGGCAGAGGCAGAGGACGCCCGAGGCTCGGGCTGCAGCATTGCGCGGTGGCCCGGGGACCTCGGTCGAGCGCTGAAAAAGGCCGCGTCGCCACGCATACATGCAACTCAGGCCAGCTCAGGCCAGCGTGGCCGTGCATCGGGCGTATCGCACAGCCGTTCGTCGCTGACTCATTCGCGCTACAGGCACTGCGCACCGATGCCTTGCACACTTGCGGCTGCTGCAGTGGGCAGTCTTGCTGTTGAAAGTCGTGCTCTCCCGCTCTTTGGCTAGAATTTAGGAGCGAGAGAGCACTGAACTTGCGAAGACTTCTCTCTGCGAACGCTTTGCAAATGGCAGCAGAAGAGACTGTTCACATTCCGTGGCCAGCCATTGTCCATCCCATCGGCTGCGGACGTTCCAGCCCCAGTCTCTAGACTGGCCTCGAAAAGGCAGTCTCAGGTGCTGTCGTCGAGCTGTGTGCCATTCGGACGGAGCAGGACTCGCCTGACTGGAGAGTGACAAAAGGTAGGACGCGCCGTCACGAGAAAGGGCGTTGGGGAGCAGTCGCGGAATTGCACAAAATCAACCAATGTTAGACCGCTGCAGCATCTCGCTTGGGCCACCGCTACACCTATTTTTGCCCACTCTTCGGAATGACAACAACAAGATTCGCTGCAAACAGAACTTCATACTGTATCTGCTTTCTGCTTCGACCTCACTCCTCCCCACCCGACCGCCATCATGAATTTTCGCTCTCATTCGTAAACCCGTCATTCACAGTACGCTGAGCAGCCGCCAAGCAGCTCGACAGAATACCAAGGAGCCTCGTCCCGGACGACATGCTGGATCTCGGGGCTGATAGAGCGGCCCCAGAATGTAGACAGCTGCCTCGGCTCTGGACCCCGAGCGGCTAGGGCCCCTGACCTTGCAATGACAACGGATGCAGATGCAACGACTCGCCAGACAGCAACCTCAACAAGTGACTGCGCTCCCATGCCGGCCGAGGACAGCATCGATGACGCCCGCATGCACTCCCTGCGGATCTCCTCGGAGGATGCGCTCGCAGCTCCGGCAACAAGAACATCGAGCGACGACGTCGAATCACATCAATCCGGTCACGCTGCTCGTCCTATGCTCAGGCATGACCAGCTTTCATCCGAAGACTACGTAGAGCTGACCCGCATCTCCCACAAGAAGGACGACATTGAGCGTCACATAGCCGACCTGCAGAGCTGGTCAGCTTGGAATCCTTTCGAGGATGTCGCATCGTATTCAACCGAGCCTCAAGTGCTTTTAGCAAGCAAATCTACGCTCGTACGACTGAGCCAAGAGCTCGACCTACGCCAGGGCAAATGCGACCGTCTCGAGCAGGACATTCAACGATTCAACGTGGACGACATGAAACGACTGCGCAAAGTAGCAAAGGCCACCTCCAAGCGACACCTCTCTGGACCCGACACAGACCTGCTCGAGCTCGCCCTTTCCACCATTTACGCGCTCGACAAGCTCCTGCGGCTTTTGCGCGACCAACGCGCCGAGCACGAGCTCACAGAACTTCGACTGCGATGGGAAAGAGCTCTCCTCGCGAGCTGGCAAGACGTCGCAGCCATTCGTAACGACATCCAAGCCTTTGAGCGAAAGTGTCGAGCTCTCAAAGAGGCACTGCTCGAAAGTCAAGACGGCCACGCGATGGACGCAGCGCTGCTCCAAAGCAACGGGGCTCTCAATGTGAACGAAACGCCGACGCAATTCAAGCAGGATGCGGCTGAATCCGCAGCACACCATCCGTCAGGGTCCGGGAAGCGCACAGAAGTACCAACGCCTGCTCTCAGGCTGGCAGTAGAGTCTGTCAAGCTAGAGTCGTCACGCCTCGTCCTTCGCGTCAGAAGCTTCGATGCAGAAAAGGTCCGCCTTGCCGGAAGGCTGTTGGATCTTCTCATCGACCACAGGCAGGTGCCGGAGAAGCTACTGGACGAACAGGAGAAGCTGGAGGACGCCTTGATGCGGCCAGCGGCAATAGAAGCGGAAGCTGCGACGATCGCGACTCTGCTCGAGGAAAAGACCATCTCGAGACATCTATCCGGCTCGTCCTCAACAACAGATCTGAGCATCCACCCTCACCGTTCAACCTCGGAAGCTCTCGAAACACCCCGCCGCCGGACGTCACATGAGGCGCACAGCACAAAGGACGAGGTCTCTCCGAGAGTCGCATCTGGTTCTCGCGCCTTGCACTCGAAGCGTCTCAACGGGGCATTCTCAACGCCATCGCCCAAAGCGACGCGAGGCTCTGGTGTCAATCGGTACCAAGCCGATCCTCGGAATAAGCTGGTCAATCGGTACCAAGCCGATCCTCGGAATAAGCTGGACACTGCTATCGGCCGCATCGTCAATCGTCTACCGATGCCCGTCTCGATCAGATCCGCTCGAGCCGCAAATCACAATGCCTCGTCTGCCGCCAAGGACGAGAAAGACATAAGCGGCCGATATTGGATCGGTGATCCCGAGCCGCGGCTTTGTTTCTGCCGCATTCTTCCTTCGCGCACAGTCATGGTCAGGGTTGGAGGCGGCTGGCAAGAGCTTTCCGAGTTCTTGACGCAGCACTACTCGCATCTGAGTCTCCGAGACGGGGGAATGCATTCGGCCATGCTGAGTCCTTCCAAGGGCCATTCGGCGTCGAGCCTGGCGTGGCTGCGATCCGCTTCTGGTCCGGCAGGCTCTCCGGCTGCAAGATCGGTACTGTCCATGGGATCGCCCCGGCTGAACACGTCTGCTCGCAAGAGTATATCGCCGCGAGTCTCCCGAGTCGTCACAATGCCAGTGGACTTGACGAGGCACTCGGCCAGCAAAGATGGAGGCGACAAACTCGAGCGCCGGACCTCCAACGGAGCGCTCCATCACCGCAGGAGCGACTCTGGGGAGGAAATCGGCCCGTCACCGGACGCAGCCGGCAGCATCCCCTCTAGCGGATCACAGTCGTCCATCGTCATCCATCCATCATCTCCGTCTACGTAGCCTAGGAAGTCCGAACGATGTGGTCAAGCTGCAAGCGGCTCCTGCCATCTTGTCTCTGAATGCTTCGTCTCCAATGGGAACCCCGACCGCAGCGACCCATTCGGACCAACGTCAACGGGCCGACCGCAGCGGCACCAAGTCCACTTTTGTCACGGGATACATATGCGAAGATTTACGCGCGAGCGCAAAGACCGGGAAACCACCGTACAAGCACGCAGAGACCACTTCCCAGTCACGATTCCCCATCGAGGCAGCATATATTCATGATTATGCGGGGTGCATTCATTCGTGATTCACCCTTCCACCGCTCGAGATGCATGATTTTTGCGGCGTGCAAGAGCCATATCTTGTACCGCGAAGGAGCGGGCGCGAGCCAAGCAACTCAGAGGCTTCATGCTTCTTTTTTTGCTCGAGTCTGGCTCCATGTTGGCTTCCAAACGATGCATGCATCCTGGGTGGCGCGGCGAAGCCCAACGCTTTCAAGCCGACTTGCTCTGACCAACGTGCGAAGCCAGCCGCTGTGCTAAGCCGACAAAAGGGTCCAACAGGGCACAACCGTTGGCTTTTGGAGGAAGCTGCTTTCACGATCTGAGGCCTCTTCATGCATTTTGGTGGAGAGAAGAAGCCATTAATGTCTTTTCCCTCCACTTCATATTCAGGAACGGGCGGACCGGAGCTCCTCGGACCGGTCTTGGATTTTGAGTCCAGAATGAATCAACAGGGTCACCCCCGCGGGGACATTTTTTCGCAAACCCATGACTGCTCGTGTGCCTGAATCTCCGTCGGCTCCGCTCCGAAGCTCGGTCCACCCTTCTTCTTTCCGGAGGATGCGGGGTTGTTGTGTGGAGCTTTTCAGAGCACCCTTCCATATTTGATGAGCCTCTTCATGCTTTCAACCCATCATCATCCCCACGCACACACCACTGTCCTCCCTGCCTGACTACAGAACTCGAAACAATGTCATCCAACGACCACATTGAAAGCTACCCGCGACCGGGCAAGACTGCCATCGTGTAGGTGTGCTGGTCCTTGTGTCTATCTTGACTTTGCGCATAGCTGACGGACTGATCTTTCGCTTTCTGCATCGATTGCGGCTCTGAACAGTACGGGCGGATCGTCTGGCGTAAGTGCGAATAGCATGGGGTCATGTGCTGGAACAGATGTGCTGACTATGTCGCAATGTCTCATCTGTCTCTAGCTCGGCCGCACAAGTGCCGTTGCGCTCGCACGTGCTGGATGGAACGTAACCGTCACGGGCCGTCGCGAGACCGAGCTTCGCGAGTCGTGCGACCAAATCGACGCCGCCTCTGGCCGTTCCTCCTCGCACTACGTTGCCGGCGACATCACCAAGGAAGACGTCGTTCTGCGCGTGTTCAAAGAGACTGCCGAAAAGTTCGGTCGGATCGACCTGGTGTTTTGCAACGCCGGCATCTCTCCACCAAACGTCCCCTTGGCCGAACAGAAGCTGTCCGACTGGCAAGCTACGGTCGACGTCAACCTGACCGCTGCCTGGCTGTGCGCACGCGAAGCCTACCGCTACATGGAGAAGCAATCACCCCAGGGAGGCAGGATCATCATTAATGGTAGCATTAGCGCTTATGCTCCGCGCCCAAACACGTCGCCTTACACCGCGACAAAGACGGCCATGACCGGTCTCACCAAGTCGCTCTCGCTCGATGGAAGGAAGTTCAACATCGCAGTCACCCAGATCGACGTCGGAAACGCCGCATCAGAAATGACCGCAAAGATGAAGGAGGGTCCAGGCGTGCCCCAGGTAAGCCCTCACGGCCTCGCGCGATTGCGGAGCAAAACACTGATCATCTTTGCTTGGAATAGGCCGACGGATCCATGCGCCACGAACCGACAATGGACCGTGAATGGTAAGCTCCCACAGCCCCAGCCTCAACTCACCCCATCCTAGTGTACTCACACCCGCTTCGCTCTCGAGAACAGGGTCGGCAAGGAGATCGTCCACATCGCAGAAATGCCCCTCAGCGTCAACAGTGAGTTCCAGTTGTCGTCCAACTTGGCTTTCAAACATTGCTGACACCCTCTCTGCTTTGCTCAACAGTCGGAAACGTCGTCATCCAGGCCACCAACATGCCCAGCCACGTCGGCCGCGGCTGAGGCCGAGGCGTCGCTGCCCACGCATTCCTTTGCTGGAAAGATGAATCTGAATTGTTCCACGAACGCGGTTTCGAGTGCGAAGTGTGACAGTGAAATGCAGTGAGCGGTCTCATTCTTCTTCGCCTGCAGGTTTGCCACGGACGGGACGTAAAGAGGGGTCAGTCGGATGTCTGTCATCATCTAGAGGAAAGAATACGCACCTTCGAGAGCCTCTGGCAGCTGGATCCGCTTGCCGCGGCGCCACCATCGCACAGCAAACACCGCAAGGCTTGCCACCGCTCCGGTAACAGCCGCGCAAAGCAGAGCAATCCATCCCCCTGTTTCGAGCGCAAAGTCAATGTCAGTTTACGATTCTCCGCAAGCTGGCGACGGGCGACACTTACATCGATAGAACCAGCCCGGCTCGTACGGCGTGAGCACAGCATCGATCTGGAACACGCCACCTACTGGCGGCCTGATGATGCGCACATCGCCGCGAATGCCTCTCGCCTCTCGTCCAAAGGCCGTAACGACGGCCGAGTGGGCATCGGACGACGAGCCGCGTGTATTCTTGATGCCTACGATCCACCCGAGCCCCTCATCGGGCTCGCCGTCGCTGAGTGCTCGCTTGTACCGACTCGTGCGCGGATCGGTCCTGCGGAAGCTGACCTGGCCGTGGGCGCTCGGACCTCCATTGGCGCGGTCGAGCAAAGTGGCGTACGAGCTCTCGTCCTTCAACTCGATGCCGTCACCGCGTCCGTCTGGCAGCAGCTCGTCGACGCTCTTGTCGTCGACCAGAGGAATGAGATGCTGCTGCACCAGCCTCACGAGACGGTCTTGGTCGGCAAGCACGGCTGTGAGGTTGACTTTTGTGAACGCACTATCGGTTGGCACCAGTACGAGGAAGCCCGAGGCGGAAGCGATGCTCTGATTCTTGGGAATGGTGCTGTTGAGGACGTACTCGTATCCTGCTTGCACCATAAGGTCCTCCATGGTGTCGGCCTTTGCACCTTTGAGCAGGTCGCGGATGGTGAGATCGAAGGGGATCTGAACGCGGTCCACCTCGTGAATCACGCCGGTGTTGGTGAGGATATCGCCCTTGATGACAAGAGAGGCGGTGCCATTTGGCTCGCCCGCCTGATGCACGGCGATGGTGCCACTCTTCTGCCTGCGAATGGCCAGCTTGGCGCCGAGCGTGGGCAGTAGGGTGGGGAACTCGGCTTCTTGATCCGTAAAGTCGGCCTTGTAGGCGATCCTGTCGATGGCGTGATACTCGACCAGAGCCTGGAGCAAATGTTGCGAGTCGGGGAGCAGCAAGTAATTCATCGCGAGGCCCAAGCCAGTGAAGGCATCGTTGGTGGGGATGAGGTAGCTGACGCCCGGTGCGCGCTCCACGGCCTTTTTGAGATCCGAGCTAAACACGGTGGCAACAAAGGTGGAGAGAGAAAGGTAGGAGACAGCTGTCTGGATGGGGTCGGACGGCGGCTGGAGAAGCTGCGAGACGACATAGATGACGGCGGAATCCTTGACCTCGACGGGCTCGCTGATCACGTTGGCATCGCCGAAAGCGACGTCGCCGTTGCCGCGCGTCTCGGAGGCGGAGGTGTCGCCGACCTGGACGGGCATCTTCTGCCTTCCCTCTCTGAGCTTCCAGTCCTGCAGCTCGGTGTTGAGCAGCATTCCGCTGGTGAGGTTAGCCGGTCGAATCTGTCCGGGCAGAATGTGGTAGCGGACGACTTCCTCCAACGACGGGCCTTTGCGGTAGTTGCCGAGCGAGCGCGAGGTGTCGGGTGCGTAATGCGCAATGTGCGGATGGCGCGAGTACCACGAGTCGATGACGTCGTCGCGGGGAGCGAGGAAGGTGAAGGGGTCACCATCTTGGCGCTGAAGATGAGCTGGTTTGTTGATGTAGTGCTGGAGGCCTGCTTCGTAGACGAGGTCTACGAAGCGCGTGGCGTTGAGCGCGAGGAGGGTAGCCTCGATGCTCATGTCGAGATCGCCAAAGGGCAAGATGAGGTCGTCGATGAGGTGCACGACGCCGTTCTCGGTGAGGATGTCCTCTTGGACGATGTGGGCGTCCATGACCTTGATGGAGCCATCGTCTTGGTCGACTTCGATGGAGACGGAGCCGCCGAGGGTGGTGGCCAAAGTGGCGCGACCGGCTGCTCTGAGCGCTGCGGAGTAGACGGGGGAGCGGTCGCCAAAGCCGCTGCCGCAGGAGTGCCAGCCGAGGAGCTTGAGACGGTCTAGGGAAGCCTGTTCGAAGTTGCCGAAGAGATAAGCGGACTCGAGCGCGCTAAGCTTGTCAAATGCTTGCGATGTTGGCATGAAGAGGGTGAGATGCGGCACGGTGGAGAGGGTATGCAAGGTGTCGTTGTTCATCAGGTGGCGCACGCTGTCGAGACTAGGATGAGTTGCGATGACGTGCTCCAACGAGGGTGGCAGGCTGATGACCGAGTCGATGTGATGGATGACGCCGCTCCTGGACCTCCAATCCTCGAAGAGCGACATTGCGCCGCCGCAACCCTGCTCATCGGCGCCAAAGTAGAGGCTTGGCCGTTTTTGCTTGTTAGAGGTTGCATCTGGCTGCGACTTGTCCGTGCGATCGACGAGGGCGATGCGCATGCGCTGACCGTGATGTCCGAGCAGGCCGCCGTGATCCTCCTCGTCGGGGACTGGGACGCGGCCGGGATGGGTTGGCTCGGTGAGCATTCTGCGCGATGGAAAGTGGAGGGTTGTGTGCATCTGCGGCTTTCCAGGCTGCGGGAGAGGATGGTCCGGTGCGTGCGAGCCAGTGTTGTCGCTCAAAGTGAAGGGCAGGGTGTAGTTCAAGACGTGATAGAGGAGATGCTGCCTTGCGACGGCGTTGACGTTGCTTGCCTGGATACAGATGCCGTGGTTCCAGATGCAATGCGCCGAGGCTGCGGTATGCGGAAGGTCGTCGAGCAGGTACTCCCAGAATGTGAGCGTGTGAGAACGAGAAGCGGCTTGCGAAGCTGCGTGGAGCTGGCTGAGCTGCTGCTGCTTCTTGCTCAGGAAGGCATCGTTTGTGGGAGCGAGGATGGTGATGCCCGAGCCGTCGTCGAACTCTTGCAGCCTGTTGAGAGTGGGGATGAGACGGGTGCGCTGAAGCAGACGAACAAAGATGGTGTGGTCGGGCGACTGCGAGAGTAGGTCGACGAGGTTGAAGGAAGAGGTATCGTTATGCTTGCGAGTTGGAATGACGGGTTCGATGGCAAGCTGTAGGGGATGCTGAGCGGCTTCGGCTCCACCTGTGCACAGGCAGGCGAGTGCCGCCGCGGCGACCAAGAAGCGATGCGCGAGCATGTTGACTAGTAGCTGGTGGCTGATGCCATCTCAGAGCGCAGGAGACGGGGCCGATGTGTGGACCTGAGTGGTGGTGGTGGTGGGGGTGGTGATGGTCGAGTGAGTAGAGAGTGGATTGATAACGGCTGTGTAACCCTGCCGGATCTTGCGCATCGGCCCTGCAGCCAAATCCACAAAATTAATGTGGAGGAAAAGCCAAAATTCACCGCACAAACCCAGAGAGTCCGAGAAAGCGGCTCAGCCACGCACGCCCCCACCAAAGCTAAGCTTCAAGCTTCGGACCCTGCATCCCCCCGCCTTGCCTCTTCTCTCTGCTCACCAGCCAATCCCACACCATCCAGTCAAGATGTGCATCCTAGCACTACCTTCGTAAACATGTCGACCTCCTATACCACCGATACACATGGTACACCGCCATTCGACTCGCCAACTCTGCGTCATGCCGACTCGGACTCGGCGGACGAGCTGGGCTGGTCCGATGCATCCTCGCTAGCTTCTCTGAACGACTACGACAGTCTCGACGAGTCGAACGACTTCCCCGATACAGTTGCACCGGAAGCAAGGCATTCCTATCCACCAGATCCAAACGAGACCTCGGACCAGGCAGTCTGCCGAATCTGCCTCGAATCCGCCTCGAGCGGCGCGGCGGGTGAATCGCTCGGCCGGCTTCTTTCGCCGTGCAAATGCAAGGGAACCATGAAGTACGTCCACGCCTCCTGTCTCGACACCTGGCGCGCCGCATCTCTACGTTCCTCGTCCGCAGTCGCCTGCGACCAGTGCGGCGCACCCTACCGCTTCCGCAAGTCCAAGTTCATCGGCATAGCCACTTCGCCTACGCTGCTCTTCCTCGTCAGCCTCTTCCTCTTTCTGATGCTCATATGGACGGTGGGTGCAGCAGCCACCCTCGTCATGGACCTCTACGACAAACCCGCCGCCCCCAAGACTGCAAAGCGTGGCTGGTGGCCATGGAGATCCGACGACGATCCCATCTACTCTTCGGTCGAGACCGATGCATGGTCGTACCTCGATGCAGATTACGCCACACCTGGGCTGTGGAGCTACTCCAACCTCATTTACGAGCCTGCAGCCTACCTCAAGCTCGTCAAAGACGCGGTGCATGCCTTTGCCTCGGGCGAAGCCGCCGACGCTGTCCGTGAAGTCGTTGGGCTTCAAGACCAGCCCGAACAGGCGCAGCCAGACGATCCAACACCGCAGCAAGGATTCTGGTCCGCGCTCAAGTCCGAGTGGATGTACGGCGACGGAGGTCTGTGGCCGTCCAAGTCGACATCGGCACAGCCAGATGATGCTAACCCCAGTGCGCCACCAGACAGGCCTGTGTCTCATACGAAAAAGAGGCAAAAGTACGACGCCCGTGCAGCATCTGACGTCAACGGCTCCAAACGTCGTCGGCACAAATTCAAGTCCTCCCGATCCTCATCCACACCGGGGGACAGCTGGCTCAGCAAGCTTTTTGTGCAGTGTAAGTTCCACGTTTTCCGCTCTCTTTCCGCACAGACTACTTACTCTCTCCCTCACATTGCAGTTTCTGTGGGCTTTTCTCTCGTCGGCATACTGTCCTTCCTCAATCTGGTGGTACTGGCGCCGATCAACCTGCACAACTTTGGTCTCGGCCGCTCGTTTGCGCGCATGACCTCGCGCGGCCGAGGTGGCGGCGGAGGCAGGAACGCCAACCAGGACGGCGTGAATATCGCCTCGGTGCTCATCGTGCTGCTCGTCGTCATCGGCGTCGTGCGTGCGTTGCACGTGGTCTATCGCCTCGTCAAGAAAGTGGCCAGTAGGGGGTTGAGTAGGCTGGAGGAGGTCATTGTCGATTGGAACCACGAAGACGAGCTCGCACACAGCTAGCCTGCTGCCCTCTCAGACCTTACTCGACACCGCCATGCGCTGCCAACCTCGGCTTTCTCATTCGGCGCCGTTCTCAATTTCCCACACTGTGCACGCTTCGTAACAGCCTGTGCCGCGGAGATGAGCGAGAAGAGATGCCGAGTGTGATGCAATGCTGAAGAAGCGCGGAGGGTACAAATACAAATGTCGTGGCGGTATGGACTGGTCAGCGCTGGTGAGTGTTGGGATTCAGAAGAAGAAGTCCTGAGCTTCTTGCTCTGCGGCGTGATCTGTGTCGTCTTGGTCGGTGAGCATCTTGACCATGTAGGGACCTTCGAGCTCGTAACCTAGCCTGCGGTAGTAGTCTCTGGTGCCAACACCCGAAATGACTGCCAGCTTGCACGAGCCGTGTTCGTCCCTGGCGATGCGCTCGGCCTGTTCCATAAGCAGCGTGCCGAATCCCTGGTGTTGAAACTTGGTCGGATCGCGCGTGTGGATGGGCACCGCACTGCCGTACGTATGCAACTCGCGCACGATCGAGCACTGTCCATCCTTGGTCAGCTCCGGTCGATACGTTCCTGCCTTGGAGCACTTTCGCAGCCGCAGCAGCGCAATCAGGATGTCCTTTTCGGGATCCTCGTACGAGAGGAAGCTCTCCCAGCCTCCATTGGCCGCGTAGTCGCGCCGAATGAACTCAACCTCCTCCGGCCGCACTTTGGTGTGGATTTCGTGCAGACCCACTTCGCGGTACCTGACGTCGCGACAGCTTACGCCGAAATCGCGCATGCGCTCCAGCGCCAGTTCGCGCAGGTTGCCATTTTCCACACCCGACGAAACGAGCGGCATGGGGATGTCGCGCTGCACACGGTACACGCGCGTCCACGGCGGCACCAACGCCAAGATGCGCGCGATGAGGTCGACCAGGAACGACGGCGTGTAGTTCTTGTACCTTCCCGTTCGCCACAGCTCGTATAGCCCCGTGCCGCGGATGACGAGCGTAGGGTAGAGCTTGAGCCCGTCGGTTCGGAATGCCGGATTCTCGAAATACTCTTTGAACTGCTCCATGTCGCGCTCCACGCCGACGTTGGGCAGATCGGGCATCATGTGCGCTACGATCTTGTAGCCGGCGTCCTTGGCGAGCTGGAAGGTCTCGCACACCGCCTTGACCGTGTGGCCGCGGTTGGTGTCTCGCGCAACATCCTCGTACACGGACTGCACGCCAATCTCTAGGCGCGTGCATCCGTATCGAAGCATCTGCGACAGATGCGGACGGAGACAGTAGTCGGGTCGCGTCTCGATGGTGATTCCGATGCACTTTGTGAGTGCGCGCTCCGAGTACTTGACTGCCTCGTCGACGTCGTTGCCGTTGAAGCCGCTGAGCGCGTTGTGCAGCTGTGCGATGAACTGGTTGCGGTACGTTTCGGAGAGCGACATGAATGTGCCGCCCATGATGATGTACTCGACCTTGTCGACGCTGTGACCGAGCTCGCGCAGCTGCTGGACGCGATTCTTGGACTGCTCGTACGGGTCGTACCTGGCGCGAATGGCTCGCATCGACGTAGGTTCGTATCCCGTATACGACTGTGTGCTGTACTCGAAGTCCGAGTCGGGGCCGCCGGGACAGTAGACGCAGATGTTTCCGGTGAGCGCGATGTGCGGGCATCGGTGCGGTTTGCACATGACAGCGACGACGGCGATACCGGAAGCGCTGCGGACGGGCTTTGCCTTGAGTGCGGGGACGAGCGCCTTACGATACGCCTCGGGGATGGCGGCGATGATGTCGGTGAGACGCGGCACGCCATTGAAGCCGTACCTCTTGCAGGTTGTGGTGCGGATGTGGTTGAGCGAGACGGAGGCGGAGCGGTCGTGCGCATCGACGAGCTGGGCTGCGATGTCGGCGCACACGCGGAGCAGCAGCTCTGCGGTATTGGGAGACGCACCCATTGTGCTCGTGTGTGCTCCTGAGCGAGGGTCGACAAGGATGAACGTCGAGCGGCGGTGAAGATGAGAAAGGTGCAACGAGTCAACGTGTGGAGCATTCTAAGCCCACACACCAAAAAAGTGCTGGCCCCACGAATCTCGGCACTCGGGAATGCGAGCTAGGGCGGCCCAGAAGGCTGACAGCTGAGAAAAAGGCGGTTACCATAAAGGGCAATTTTCGAAAAAATAAAGAAAGAGATTCTCATCGGAACCGGGCAGAGGAGCGCGGTATCAGTGTGGTCGAGTCCAGTCTCCCGTCATGGGACCACGCATTTTTTTCATTTGCGAGCTCTAGGCGGCAGCAGCAGATAGGCATATCCGGAACAAGTTGACTGACCAATCGGCTACCGTCGACGCACGTCCCCCCGCTTCTTCTTGCGCTCTCTTTCTCCTCTCCATCATCCACCACCTTTGCCCCCTTCTCTCTCACCACGGACAGTCGGAACTACAACATGATCGCTGCTCTTCGCCCGTCTGTCTCGCTGCTCGGCAGGTCTGCCATGCGCGCCGCACCCAAGCCGTTTGCGGCGCCGATGCGTGCTGGCTTCGCGTCGAGCGTGCGCGCGTGGGGCGTGCAGAAGCGCTTCACCGAGGAGCACGAGTGGGTGTCGTTCGACGACGCCACCAACATCGGCACGGTGGGAATCACCGACTACGCCCAGAAGTCGCTCGGCGACGTCGTCTTCATCGAGCTCCCCGAGGCAGGTGCCCAGGTCAAGAAGGGCGGTGCGTATCTGCATTATCATCGACGCAACAATCGCAACCCAGGCTGACTTGATCTGACTATCTCTCTCGGCTGCACGCACGATGTTCAGATGACATCGGAGCTGTCGAGTCTGTAAGTGCTCTCACCACCAGCCGAGCTGGAAGAAGCCGATGGGAAACTGACGTGCAATCTTGCTCTTGCTTTCAAAATGCTCCGCCCGCACCTCTAGGTCAAGGCGGCTTCGGACATCTACGCTCCCGTCTCGGGCCAGATCGAGGCAGTCAACTCGAAGCTCAACGACGAGCCAAGCCTGCTCAACAAGCAGCCCGAGGGCGAAGGTGCGTACTCAACCCCCCCCCCCCCCCCCCACCTTCGTATGCAGTGACGTGTGGATACTGACTCTTGTGCCACTTCTGGCTGCGTTGTAACAGGCTGGCTGTGCCAGATCAAGCTGACCAACCCTGCTGATTTCGAGACGCTGCTCACCGCCGAGGCGTACCAGAAGATCTGCGAAAACTAAAGCGCGCGCTGCCTCCTACCTCTCCTAAATGCCCTCTACCTAAATTTACATTGCAGCTCCGGTCCGCCCCAGGCCGTGCCGGGCCTCCTCCGCGCAAATTCCCCCTGGTCCGCACTGGTCTTTCAACAGACCCTGTAATCTTGAATGGTTTCCTGCTCGTTCGTGAGCGCAGTGTTGTGCGGAATTGGTGTTGAGCTTGCGCGCGGCGGGCGACGCTCCGTTTTGGCCGGCCACGTGCGAAAACTGCAAAGATCCGTTCGGGCTCAATGGCGGCAACCACGGAAAAGGTGGGCGGAGTAGACGGCCGACCGGACGCTGCTGCGTGAATGCCGACCGTGGTTGTCCGCTTCGACGGGATCGTGCCGATTAATCGATGCGATCTCCGATTCGAGACGGAACCCGATTTGTAGCGCACGCTACCGATGCCGATGCTGCCAGCCAGCCTTTTTTTGGCCGTCGGAAGGCGTTTGGTCGCGAGATTTGGCGAGGCGCATGAGCTTCTGCGAAAAGCCTCGTTTCGGCGGTTGGGCGTTGGCTAGCATGCTGTAGGGCAGGGCAGCTGCAGCTCGCGTTGACACGGCGTCATCTTCGTTCCATCCCATGGTGCGCGGTAGAGCATCTTGTGACGGTAGCCGATGATTGGTTGTCGAAGGATCGAGGTCCGAGCGGGAGGCGCACTCGCATCTACCCATCCGATGGTACACACGCGCCTTTCAGGGGTGTGAGCGTAGGCAACTGTCACACGTGCAATCAGCTGTCTACCCACCGCTCGTCATTCCAGGCGAGACGATGCACATGCCTTTGGAAGGGCTCGATTTCTCGGAAGCCTTGGCGCCACCTTTCACGCTTCCCCTAGATTCAGGCGATGCATCCGACATACCGTCGAGAGGAGAGAGAGCTTCCCGAGGACGACGTTAGGCGAGCGCATATGGGTGGCGGTTCACACGGACGCAAGGCGCTTGCGAATCGAAGCTACTGGATCGGCTTACGGCGCCACGCCATCGATTCCGAAGCCGGCTCTTTTTGGTTGCCAGATCCGCTTCCGGGATTGATGGATGGAGAAGCTGCCGAGAAGGCGAGACAAGCGAAGGGGCGCAATGTGCGTCTGTGCGTCTCGCCAAAGAGGCGCTTGGGAGGCTCCTTGCGCTTCGGAAGCGCGTCCGGAACAACGTTGCACGAAAAAAAATAATAATTGACAACTACCCTCAACCCGCCCGCGACCGTTGACAACAGAGCGCTTTGTTGCGCAAGTGCAGCGCCATCGGGAGAAGGGGTGTGGCGCTACGGGATCTGGACCAGGCTGCGTCGGAGGGATGGTTTGTAGGAGCGCATAGAGTGGCTGGACGACGGCAATTGCAACTTGCTTTTGCGTTGGCCGACATTCTTGTGCCGCGCCTCGGGGGCGTGTGCAGCGCGATCTGACAGGTCAACGTTTGGTGCGTGCGTGCGCGCGTGCGTGCGTTGCATGCAAAAGAACTGCGCCCCGCCCGCCGGCCAAAAGGAGAGGGGAGGGTCTGGGCGTTGTGTCGCGGCGTAGAGTCACTGCCAAAAAAATTCTCTCATGCCCCAAGCGGAGGCGCAAAAGGCTGCGTGCTACGTGCAGATTGCAGCTTGCTTTGGCCCATTGGACGCGCTTTTCATACCTGTCATTTCGGACGTCTCTTGTCCGCAGATGCCCAATCCAAGCTGCGTGCATCCAAGGAAAAAAAAAAACCGAAACAAAGCGGACGCGGAAACGGGTTGTTTTCCCAAGCTCCCCGAGTGGCATGGGACGCATCGATCTCTGTTCGCATCTGCCCGAGCGAGCGGTCGAGTGGCGTTCGGATGGGCGGCTCTCTCCCACACCCGCAACGCTCTCCGAAGCCATCGGAATGAAGGTCACAACCGATTGGTCGCAAGGCTCCGTGCAGGCCCCCCTTCGCCCGCCACTTTGAGCTAGTGGCCGCGGGCATGGGAGAGAATGCAAAACAGGCGACGCTCGATAGCAAGCAGCACGCATCGCTTGGGAAGTGCACTGCATCTTGGCTCTTGCGCCACAGTTCTCCTGCGGTCACACTTGCGACGGCCAAGAGCGTCGTTGCAGAGAAGAAGACACGGGCGGGCACGAGCCGGGACTCTTCCCTTGAAGTTCCGTCTGTATGTCTTTCTCATGCTCTCTCTCTCTTTTTTTCCACGCTGCCACTCTCCGCTCCGGCGCACACTCGCACCAGGCACGCAGCACCAAAATGAAAAAAAGAAGTGAAAAGGAAAAATAAAGTTGAGGGGGCGAGTCTCGAGCGTCGACGCGTTGGAACGCTGCACCACTGCACCACTGCACCACTGTGGGAGCGTGTGAGTGTGTGTGGTTTGCCGAGCGGGCGGGCCCTCGATTTTCGGCCATTGCTCGCAATCCATCCCCTTTGCAGCTCGCTTGGCCGCCTAGCCTCTGGGCCGCCTAGCCTCGGTGCCTCTGTGCCTCTTGACGCCTCGTCGCTCATCCAACGACGCGCTCTCTCTATGAAAAAAATCTGCACTCGGCCTGTCGGAAAAAAAAGGCACGACGAGCGGATGACAGCTATTCTCCTGTTCGACCTGCATCCCACCAACCCTTTTTTGCACACCGTTCGATTGCCCGCATACAGTCAGCCTCGAGGAACCGCTGCCGTGCACCCCGCGCTCTCTCTTCTCCTCCTCCTCCGGGGGCGGATTGGGTTCCATCGGCGAGCAAGCCCTGTTCGACGCTCGCAGCCTCGAACCGCTTCATGCCCGCACCTGCATCTCCATGCGCCCAGTGGGAACGCCAGACGCGCTCCGCCGTGCAAGTCGCATGGCCGCCCAGAACGCCCCCGTCGGTCCCCTCGAGAGCAGCTCCCCTTCGCCTATCGACGCGCTGCCACGCCGCTTCATTCGAGGGGGCTCGCTCGACCATCGCCCTCGTCGGTCGTCGTAGCAGATACATAAAACGCCTCTGCCCACTCCATCGGAATCCCTCCTCCGTCCCCACCCACTCCGCCTTTACCCTCCCACCGGTTGTCGTGCCTACCTCGTCCGTAATTGGCTACCTTCGCTCCGGTCCGCCTTTAGCCGCGCCCCGTTCCAGCCTTCATTTGCGTCGCTGCCTCGTTCGACGATCGTCTCGTTCTGCCAACCATCGGACTTCCCCCCTTACCCATAAAACTTGGCTTCTACACCCGCCCCTATCCGCTAGACTCCTAGCATCACATTGTTCAAGATGGCGGACCTCATGCCCACCTTCCCCGCCATGGACCTCTCGCTGGGTTGCATGTACATCGGCGTCATGCTCAACGTCTGGCTCTTCGGTTTCTCGATTGTGCAGGCGTACATCTACTATGTGCACTTTAAGAGCGACAAGCCCTTTATGCGTTACTTTGTGCTCTTCCTCGTGGTCGCCGACACGGTCAATGCCGTATTCGACCAGGTGTTCATGTACCAGTATCTGGTTTCCAACTTTGGCAACCTCACCTACGCCGCCAAGAGCAACCGCGCCTTTGCCGCCGACCCCGTCATGACGGGCATCATTGCCTTTTCCACCCAGCTCTTCTTCGCCTGGCGCGTGTACAAGCTCATGCACTCCAAGATCATGCCCGCCTTCATCTGCGTCGGTGCGGCCGTGTCGCTGCTCAGCGCCATTGGCACCACCATCGGCGTCGAGATCGTACTCTTCTTCCAGGAATTCCAAAAGTTCCAGGTGGTCGTCATCCTCTGGCTCGGATTCGCCGCGCTCACCGACGTGCTCATCACGGGCTCGCTCGTCTTTACGCTCAACAAGTCGCGCACCGGATTCGCCGCCACCGACGACGTCATCACCAAGCTCATCCGCATGACGCTCCAGACGGGTGCGCTCACCACGCTGTTCGCCATTATCGACCTCATTCTCTTCCTCGCATCGACGACGACGCTCCACCTCGTCTTCAACCTGCCGCTCGCCAAGCTCTACGTCAACTCGCTGCTCTCTACGCTCAACGCACGCGTGACGATTGGCGCCGGCGCGCAGCAGTACACCATGGAGGGTTCGGTGAGCGACAATGCGCGTCGCGGCATTTCGACGCGCACCAAGCGATCCAACGTCTTCCGTCCCGGTGGCAACAAGCAGCCCACGATCATCCGCACGCACGCCTCGCAGCACGACGTCGAGGAAGGCCTCGCCGAGTACAACAGCCAGGAGCAGTTTGAGACGGGCATCCACATCAAGACCATCGAGGAGACCTTCGAGGAGCGCCACGACGTCGACGGCATGGGCGGCTTTGACTCGAGCTCGCACAACGACTCGCTCCCCGCGCTCGAAAAGAGCCGACACGACCACGACTCGCTCTAGAACGTCGTGCCCCCCACCAACTTTCTTATTTCAAAAACCAACAACCAACAAGACAGCATACCCCTCATCTTAGCGCGCTTAAAGCCTCTCGGATGTCCTGTTTTTTTTTTATATGTCCGTTTCCCCCATCGCATGGTTTCTCTGTCGCAATACTCTCGGTCACCCACCCGGCCTCTTGTGGTCATTACACGTCTTGTGCAATCGCAGCACGTTTTGAGATCATGTTTGCGTGACGTCGAGCAGTCGAGAGCGAAGCGTAATGCAAAGCAGAGGAACGGCCCGATGGGGGTGTTGTATCGGCGTGGCGGAATTGAGAGGATGGCGCCAGGTCCATTCGGGAAAAAAGCACGACAGCTGCAGCCGGAGCAGGGCTGAAAAAGCAACGGCTGACCAAATTGGGCGCCGGATTTCATGGAGACGTCACATCGCCATCTCCAGCTGCCGATCTGCCAACCACGCGCCTTTTTTGGTGCGATTTCACATCACCCACGCGGCCGCATTTCCGCATTTCGGCGGGCCTTCTCCATCACGACCACGATTACAATCACGATCACGCTCGGGCGCCATCATCACAGCGTTCCTCCCCTGAGCTAAGCGGCAGCTGTGATGGACACGCATGGTTGCAGCCACTACGGTTGCCCCTGCCATTCAATTGCACATCAGTCTGTACCGGGACCATCACGACACCAACCTCTTACATCTCCCACCTCGCCCACATCGCAACATGCAAGGTACACCATCCACTCGCCGTCGGAACGCGAGCCAACGTCTGTATACGCGCGGACGATCGACTGGGCACGCTCGCAACAGTGGACCAAGGAAGAGGTGGATGACTTTCTGCTCACCAACCGCACCGTCGTGACTGCCGGTACAGCCTCGCTCGTGTCCACGGCGGCATCGTTTCCGTTCGACTCGGTCAAGTCGCGGCTGCAGGTGCGCGACTATCCGTCCATATGGGCGTGCGCCAAAGCCGTCGTGCGCGAAGAAGGCTTTCGCGGCTTCTTTCGCGGCGTCACCATCCCGCTCATCACCATCTCGTTTGTGCGCACCTCCTCCTTCTCCATCTACTACAACACCAAAGCCTACCTGCATCGCCAGGGCATTTTTGACTCGCCACGCCTTCTCCACACCGCACTCTCCGGCGCAGCAGGCGGCGCGACCAGCGGCATCATCATCTCGTGCGGTTCGGCGCCGTTCGAACTCGTCAAAGTGCAGCGTCAGCTCGAGTACCTCATCGCCGTCCAAAAGGGTCTTGTCAAAAAGGCGCCGCAGGGCGGCAGTGGCGGTCGCACTTTCGTGCCGCAGTCGGGCTTTCAGGCCGCCGCCAACATCTACCGCAACTTTGGCGGCATCAAGGGCTTCTACATGGGCTTTCCCCTGCACATGGCACGCGACACCTTTGGCACCGCTCTTTACTTTGGCTTCTACGACACCATCCGCAGCCTTGTCTCGCGCCACTCCAAGACAGAGCCCGGGCGCGCGAGTCCGAGTCTGTACGGCATCCCGGGCCCCGTAGTGTCGTTCCTCTCCGGATCGTCCGCGGGCATCCTGTCGTGGCTGATCGTCTACCCCGTGGACCTGATCAAGACCAAGGTGCAGCGCGACGCACTCGCCGGCACACCGCGCCAGTATACCGGCTGGCAGGTCTTCCTGCACATGATCAAGGAGCGTCCGCCAATACCCCATGCTCAGGGCCGGGGCGTGCTCAAGACCGACACCTTCCTCGCGCGCTTCCTGCGGCTCTACCGCGGTCTCGGCGTTTCGGCGCTGCGCAGTTTCATCTCGTAAGTTGGTCCCGTGGCGGCTGGTTTCATCAATGGGCTGGTTATTAACAGGTTCTCCCGTTTGCTTGGTTTGCGTGCACAGACATGGTCTTACATGGACGCTCATCGAGTCGATCTCGGCCAAGATTACGGAACGCACGGGCAAGTCGGTCTCGTATGCGCCCGACGCCCGGCGCGACGAGTAAGAAGCGCGCAATTCAATCTCAGTGCGCTTCCACAGGCTGTTCGCGTGAAGAGTGTGCATTGCGACAGGTGTGTGTGTTGCGTGAAGGGATGAGACAGTTCAGTGCTTCCCCGCCAGCAGGCGTTCGAGCTGTTGGGGCGTGTACCTCACTTTCTCCGTTGGTTCAGCGGGGATCAGAATCGCTGCGACCTTCCTGCCTTCTTCGGAGAGCATGTTGAACGTCGAAGCTGCGTCGTGCTGTCTCCACCGTCGGCACCACCGAGTTCATCAGCATTGCTTTCCAGTTGCTGCTTTTGTGGGGAGGGATGGACTTACGGTGCTCTGGACGTCGAGTTGGATGCCAAGCTCGTTCAAATACTGCCGGATCGGGGTTGGTGGGGGCAAAACCCTCTTGCCCGTACCAAACAGTACAATTTCGGGTCTTTCATCCACCACCTCAAAGATGCCCAATACATCCTTGACCTTTTGAGTCACCTCTAGCTTCTTCCCCGGCCTAACCTGTTGATCGATCCACGCTTCCCAACCGATTCCCGAGGGTGTTGCGTAGTCCTGGTTGAGTGTAGGATGGTCGAAGAGAAACACCTGATTGTTAAGAATCACCACGGGCTCTGCTAGGACTAGGCCATCTTGGAGGGTGATGGAGGTGGGCGATGTAGAGGCGATCACGATCGAGGTCGAGGGTGTGGGTGGGGCAAGGATGTTGTAAAAGTCGTCGTAGACCGTTCGGTGCTGACCCGTGTTGGGCTTTCCACCGGGGTCGTCCGATGGCAATCGCCGAGGCGTGCTGGTGGAGAATCGTGCTGGTTGCACAGCGCGAGTCACAGTAGCCATGCATCTGGGCCGTGCGACGCCCTTCAACGCTTGTATCGCCTTCATCGTTGATGTCGAGATGATGGAAGATTCAAGCAACCCCCCGCCTCAGACATGTGGAGGCAAAATTGGCTTCTGCGTCTGGTAAGCACTGTCACGTGCCACAACTCTCCTGGACCCTTTCATCCTCCTCACCCACACACCACACGCAATGCTCTCCACAAACGCTGCTATTACAACTAGACGAGAAGCTCATCGTGCACCTGCGCGGGTGGGTCCTGCTTCCGCCTCTTTCGCTCGTGCGTTTTGCGATGCCGACTCGCCTGGTCCGGGCGGCTGAAGCACTTACCGCACTCTTCGCAGCGGAACGGCTTGACGCCCGTGTGCGTGCGCATGTGCTTGGTCAGATTGCTGCTCTCTGCAAACGCCTTGCCGCAGCCGGGGAAGCTGCACACGAACGGCTTGCTGCCCGTATGCGTCCGCTTGTGGATCGTGAGCGACCCAGCAACGCTAAACGCCTTACCGCATCCAGGGTGGTCGCACACGTACGGCCGCTCCAGAGTATGCGTGCGCACGTGCTGCGCGAGTGTGTTTTGCTCCGAAAAGCGTTTACCGCAGATGGTGCATTTGAACGGCCGGTCTCCCGTGTGCGTCTGCAGGTGGCGGAGCACCTTCTGCTTCTGCGTAAACTTGTGCCCGTGCCGTGGGCAGCCGGTCCATCGACATTCGTACGACGCTTTGCCCGACCCAACATGCGCGGATTCGAGGTGCTCCGTCAGCAAGGCGTGCGTGTCGAACTCGAGCGAACAGCCTTCCCATCGACACACGAGTGGACCATGGTCGCACGCACTTCCACTGCTCGTACTCGCCTTGCGCTTCTTCACCTGAACCCCGCCTGCTTCCTCTTTGGCAGGCTCGGGCAGCACACCCTCGGCGTGGCTGGGGTGATGCACGTGCTGGCCCAGATGGTCGTGCAGCAGATGCTGCAGGATGGCGAGCGAAAACTTGTCGGCCGCGCCGTTGTTCCACAAATCGCCACCCGCCGTGGCTGGCACGAGCGCATCTTGCAGCTTGCCCGCCATCGGCGTGGGTACCTGGTGGCAATCGTCCCACAGACACTCGACGCTCGCACCCGCGTGTTTGCCCGCATCGATCGTGCCGATCTGCTGCGCATGCTGCATGACCGTATTCGGACTCTCGGCAGCCTGCGTATTCTTGGGCGCCAGGTGCGAGTGGTTGACATGCGCGACGAGCTCTTCGACCGTCCAGAAACGCTCGTTGCATCCTGCCCATTGGCACATCTGCGGCCGTGGATCGTGGTGGCCGTTCTCGCCCTCAAAGCCGCCGCGAGCATGGTGCGGTGCACGATGCGAGTGTGGCGCTGCCGTCGGACAGACATTGGAGCTGCACAGCGTCATGGCTGGCGGCAGACATCCACCTCCGCTGCTGTGCATGTGGGGCTGCTCGAACAAGCAGTCGTTCCACGACTGCAGTTCGGTGAGGATGTCATCCAGCGTCGGTGCTTGGCCCGCGAATGGCGTGGGAAGCTTGTGCTTGTCGTTGTGCGTTGCGGCGACGTAGTCCGTCGGCCACGGGAACGCCGACGCCGGAGACTCGGTGAGCGGCTGCGGAGTAACCGCTGACGAGACTGTCGACGAGCGCGAACAAAGATTGTGCGCAGGTGAGGTGGATGGCGCAGCGTGTGTGATGGCGGTCGACGGCGTGTCTGATGTAAAAGACGCCGGCGCAAGGTCGTGGACCAGATGGTCATGAGGATGAGGCGGGAAGGTGCTGCATGGGTACGGCGTCTTGCCTACACAGCATTGGTCCACAGTGGGTGGCATGGAGCAACAGCAACAGTCGAGCAGCTCTTGGAAGCTGCCGTACATCCTGCCGCCCTCTGCCGAATCAGATACGGATAGGGAACCCCTGCATTCCTGGCATTCCTTGTCGGAATGCCGCGCGTGAGCCTTGACGTGTGCAGAAGCGTCCAATTCTGGTGGGACGAGTCGTTCGCGTGTGGAAGGCTTGGGCTTGGCCACCAGCCTGGGTGAGGAGATGGGTTCGCACGCCTCATCTTGGCAGCAGGTGGCGATGGTGGGGACGGCAATGTTGGCCGACGAGCACTCTGGGGCCGAGCATGCGCCGTCGGAGCAGGGCGAAGTGGCGAGGTCCTCGCATGCGGTGTCGTCGCAGCAGGCGATGGCGGACGTGCAGAGCCCTGGGTTTGTGGACGACGAAGCGGCTCCGCAGGTTGGTTCAGTGCAGCTGCTGGAGATGTGATGAGCGTCGGAACAGGGCGAGGCCGGTGCGGACAGCGTGCAGTCGTGGCAGCTGTCGATGCACGGTAGCGCCGAATGGTCGGCGTTGCAGCAGATGACGCCGGCACACGCCTTGACCTCTGCCATGTGTGCAGGAGGTGATGATGGTCCGCGCAGAGGCAGAGACGACGCAGCCATCGCGGGGCGAGGTGATGGTGTGCTGCAAGGTGGTGTTTTAGGGGAATCGCATTCGATGGAGAGGATAGCGGCGGAGACGGAGATGCAAAAAAAGTTGGAGCGTCAAGCTTTCGAGTGCCTAGGTGTGGAAGGGCTCTGAATCAGGGCTGATCCTGGGTTCTCTGTGGCGCCGGGTCGGGAGTTCGAGGTGGAAGATGGCTTGACCCAGACGACACACGTTGGGCTGGTGAAGCGGATGCTTGTGGCCCCGTCTCAGGCAGGCCTGGAAGCGAAGCTGTCGGCAGTAAGAGCGGGCATGCTGCTTTTGCAGAGGCAGCAGAGGTGCGGGTGGGGGAAGAGGGAGGCAGAGGAGGAGGAGCGCAAGATAGCGTCCAAATGAGGACCTTGCCGGTTATGCGCTGCCTCTCAGCTGTCGGATTTTTGATAAATCGCATCGCCCTGATTCGACTCGCCTTGATTCGACTCGGACCGATGCTCATTCACACTCGTCACCCTTCACTCGCCCGAGAGAAGTCCCTCACCCATCTTTGAGTCCCACTTCCCCCACGTCGGAGAAGACGAGATGCGCACGAAGCTTTACAGGGTCGTCTTTCGAGTAGTTTAAGATTGCAAGAGAGGTGCGAGTCAGCACAAGACACGAGGTCAGTATATTCAAATAAGATCCCACAGTGGGTCGTCGGTGCGGATGCCCTGCTTTCGCGCCCCACGCGTGGGCACTGGTGCCGGAGTGGACGCCGCCGAAAAGGTGTAGCCTTCGAGTGCGCTGTCGACAGCCTGCTGAGAGAAGGCCTGGGCGGGTGCGGGTGCGGGTGTTGGCGCTGCCTGTCGTGCTGAGCGGGAGGACGATGCGAGGCCTCCGATAATAAGCGATCGGAGCGCGTCGCCGGTGAGCGGCTCGAGAGGAGCCTTGGGCGCTGTGCCGGATGCTGGGCCCGTCTTGGCTGCCGACTGGCTGGGACCGAGCACGGCGATGCCACCCTTGGGCTCCTTGAACGAGCCGGTGGGCGTCTTTGCCTTGCCGAGGAACGCGAGCACGTCGCCCTTGGTGATCATGCCGCGCACGCCGGTGCCCTTGATCTTGGTCTCTGCATCCTCGATGTTGTTCTCGGCGATGAGGCGCTGCACGGACGGGAAGAGCGGGCCCTTGAAGTGGTGGTGCGCGTTGGAGCTCGAGGCGCCTGGCGTGCTCGGTGCTGCGGCTGCGGTCGAAGCAGCGGTCTGTGTCGACGCCACAGGCTCCGACTTGTCCGAAGTCTGAGAAGACGGGTCCGAAGAAGCAGCGGGCGGAGCAGCAACGTCCTCGGGCACCTGGACGTTGGAGATGTCGTCGCCCTCCTCGGCGATCATGGCGATGGTCTTGCCGACGTCGACGTCCTTGGCACCGTCCTGCACGACGATCTTGGCCATGATGCCGTCGTCCTGAGCCTCGACGTCCATGGTGGCCTTGTCCGTCTCGATCTCGAGCAGCACGTCGCCAGCCGAGAAGGCCTGGCCCTCCTTGACCTTCCACGTGGCGATACCGCCCGAGGTCATGGTGGGCGACATGGCGGGCATCGTGAACTTGGTCACGGCATTCTGCACCGCCGAGGTGGTCAACGCACGTGTGGCCGCCGAGCGAGACGACGAAGCCACCGCCAACAGCCTCGAGGCTGGGCGCACAAGGTTGCGTGATGCGGACATGGCGCGGGCAAAGGAGGATCACAAGAGTGGATGGTGGTCGGTGACAGAGCGAGATGACCGGCGCTTTCTCAACCTGGCCTGAGCTGCTCTCTCTCTCTCGCGCCGGCGAGGAATTTATCGATTAATCCACAATCATCATCACCCTCGGAGTGCCTGCGCCGCCCTGTTCTTCCTAATCCGAAAATCCACCCTCTCCACCCCACCAACAAAAAACAAAAAGGCGCACACACACACGCCTCAGCGCGCCGCCATGAATTTCACCGACGCTCTTCCGAACTTTTTTTCTCAAGCTGGCGGCCAACCAACTCAGGGTCTTCTCCTGCCACGCACCCGTGAGCCAGCCCGACAGTTTGTTGGGGTCGCATCCACCCGATTCGACCATCCGCAATCCGCAATCGGAGACAGCCGCTCATACACTCTCGGTAGAGACTCAGCGCGTCCTCATCTCAAGATTGTGCGGGTTGCCTTCCCGATGCGATCCATCTCTCACAGCCTTCACACGCTCACATGGGCGGCGGGCTTGATTCGAACAGTGAAGGTGTGATTGCAGTCGTGAGAGACCTAGAACGACGAGCGACGTGCACTACTGCTTCTTGGACTTCTTGGACTTCTTTGCGTCATTGTCGGCGCCAGCTTCGCTCTTGACCTTGCGCTTCTTGTCCCGCTTGTCCTCCTCGGCCGCTGCTGAGGTTTGTGTTGGGCCACGGCTTCCCGCAGGTTTGCTGCGAACATCACAATGCCAAAAACGTCAATATTCTGGGCCGAGCACATGGCAGTACGCATACGGTCCCTTGACGACTTACAAGTTTCCCTTGAGCAGATGCCACGGTTGTTGCGGCAGCTTATCCTGTTCGAACGTGTTTGCCGACTGCACTGGTTTCTGCGCCTTGGTAGTCTCAGCGGGCGAGGCGATGGAGAGATGCAGACACCGAGTCACTTTGACTGGCGCCACGACCATCTTTCCGTCCTCACCACCGTCGCCGGCAGGCACAAGCAGCCTCAGACTCTCGAGCTCCGTGGCTGCACCCTGTCCGACGGCTGCACCTGCCTCCACCGCCTGGTCCACCGCCTTGTCCGATGCCATGACGATCAGCTGCGAGTCCGCGCTCGACGCCGTGCTCTTCGCCTTGCCCTTGGCTGCCGCGGACACAGACGCGTACAGATTGTACGTATCCATCACAGCGGGCGAAGCCGTCGCCACCTGGATCGATCCAAGCGGCTTGCTTGCGTCTTTCGAGTCTCGCGGCAGATCAATCACAAGCCCATCGAGTTCGGCGGGCGAGAGACCCGCCGGGATGCGCACCGTCCATAGCTGCTGCTGCCTGTCGGCTGCGGTCAGCTTACTCTGAACAAACGGCGACGACGACGAGAACGATACGGGCTCGAATCCGCGTGGTGGTCGGTATGCGATGTTGGAGAGGTTGCGCGAGGCAGGCAGCTTGCTCGTCGAGACCTGCGTGGTGCGAGCCTCGACAGACGAGCCGCTAGAGCTCGACGACGAGCTGGATTCCGAGTCGGAACGGTTCCTTCCGGCCATGTTGTCGATGTTGTTCCTTCGAGACGATGATGCGGAGAGGGTTGGAGGAGCGATGTGGTCCAGCAGTCAGTGCTGGTTGACGCCGAAACCTTTGGGAGCTCAGAATCTGGCACGGCGGCTCTCGGCGCCTCCTCATGGCGCGCTTTCCAAAAAATTTCAGAAGAAGCGCAACGGAACGAGCGCGACCAAATCAGCATTACATAAGCACACCTCCACTTTCCTCGCTCACCTCACCTTTCCGACTCCACATCTTCGAGCCGAGGCTGAGACCGTTTTGGCAGTTGAAAGCCGTCCGCAGCTGGCCCGGGCCAACAGCCAGTGCTCGACACTTGGCTCATTCTCACCATCCAGCGGAACTCGAAGAAGATACTCAAAGATGGATCTGGTCCAGCTTGCGCTCAACAAGGTCGGCATTGCGGCGCCGGACACGCAGACGATGTCGCTGATGGGCACGTTGGCGTGCCTGGTCATCACGGTGCCGCTGGCGATTGCGTTCCACTTTTCGTCGCGACCGCGCACGCAGCGCATCAAGATCTACGAGGAGCGCGTGCTGATTCTGGGTGCGTCCAACGAGCGCGGCGTGGGCGAGGCGCTGGCGCTGCAGTATGCACGACGCGGCTGCCGCGACCTCATCCTCGTCGGACGCAACCTCGAGGGTCTGGAGGCGGTGAAGCGGCGGTGCATCGAGCAGGCCAAGGAGGGCGAAGAGTACGACATGTCCGACGAAGCGCCTGGAGACGAAGCCAAGCTGCAGCACGAAACGCGCATCCACTGCATCTCGGCGGATTGCTCGCAGGCAGCCGACGTCGACCGTCTGCGCAAGCAAGTCTCGGCCAAGTTCAAGGGGCTCGATACGCTGCACATCTGCTTTGGCGTTTCTGCCCTGCTTCCCCTCCTGGGAGTGGCTGGCGTTGACCCAGTCCGGCCGTCTTCGAAGCAAGACGCCAACAAAGTGTACGCCGACAAGGCAGGCCTCGAGGCAGTGCAACAGGCCGTGACGAGTGCATCCAACGTCAACGTCGCTGGAACCGCCGTTTGCCTGGCTGCGTTCCTACCCATGCTGCAGACCACATCTCGCTTCCCTGCCGCCGTGCTCATGTCTTCCGCCGCCGCGCTCTTCGCCACACCCACTCGCTCCGTATACGCCGCGACCAAGTCGGCACAGCTCTCGCTCTTCCGATCGGTCGCCATCGAAGCGCAAGCTCACCAAGAAGCCGCCCCTGCTGCGTCGGGTAAGCCTCGCGCCAATGTGCGCTTCCTCGCCGTGTGTCCGGGCACCATCTCGTCCAGCTTCCGTCATTCGGCTGTCGACCTCGATGCGAGCACCGAGATGCCGCAGGACCTCGCCTGGGTCAAGGGCGAAAAGATGCTGTCGGCAGCCAGCGTGGCGGAAAAGACCATCTTTGCCGTCGATCGATACTCGCACGGCACCCTCACCCTACCGCGCTTCTACGCCTTCGCCACCTGGATCGACAAGATCTTCCCCGGCTTCATCGCCAAACAGGCACGCAAGAAGTACGCCTACTAGTCCCCGTCATGAGCAGGGCGAATGCAATCCTGGATGTAAAATTTACATAGCCTTAGGCGAGATCGTCTGCAATTCCGTTGTCGTCTGCGCCGGAAATGCCGGTGAGCGTGGTGGCGAAATCGCGTTTGGAGGCTTTGGGTCGGGCAGCCTCGCCGAGGTCGCTGAGCGTGCGCAGCGTGCGGGAGAAAAGGCGTGTGAAGGCCAGATCCCACCGCCCGATGGCTTCGGGCAGAGCGGCGTGGATCGAGCCCAGCTCGGAACGGCTCATCTTGGCATCGGCCTCGTCGGTGTCCGAGTCGGCCGCGCGTGGTCGCTTGCCTGGCAACCCATCCGCCCGCGCCTCGCTCGCTTCTGCCCCGTCTTCGGTGTCGTCACGCTTCCGCTTGTCTTGGTGAGCATGGGTTGTGACCGCTTCCACCATGCCAAGCACCGAGGCACCAAGGTCCTGATCTGTGCGCGTCGCGTCAGCATTCGACTCAGAGTCGGGACGTCCGCCACCTACCGTCGGCTCGTCATCGTCGTCGTCGTCTGCATCGGGATCGAGCTTGCGCTCAAACAGGTCCTGGTAGTGCTTGTGCTCCTCGGTATCGTCTGCGACGTCGTAGCCTTCTTCGTCGACTTGAGCATCGATCGCGACATCTTCCATGTCCGGATCTTCGTCGTCGTCGTCCGGATTTGGATCGGGATGCCGCGCTTGTCTGGCGCCGAGGGCGCCTTCGATCGTGTTGTTGTCCGGCTCTTGCTCGTTCTCCTCCATGATCGGCGGTGGAGGCGCGTCCATCTCTGTGCGCATCCATGCGAACAGCTTGTCGCGCGACGAGACGGCGATGTTGCGCAGGCGGACCTGGTCGGTGACGCCGACGGTCTTGGGGCCCCTGCCTCCGTGGACGGGCAGGCTCTCCCTCGGACCGCTGCTGCTGGATGCGGATGCACCGGAAACGAATCGGCCGTCGACGGCGGGTGAAGGGACAAGGCTGCTTGTGGAGTGGATTCGCCGAGGATCGTAGGCTTGCGTAGGTCTGTCGGTCGTCTCGACGGAAGCGTCGGTTGGGGTGGCCGGATGTGCTTGCTTGGCGTTACTCAGGGCGAGGGGCAGATCGATGAGGTTGCCTCGCAGTACTGCAGCCCAGATGCGATCGAGCAGGTCGATAGTCTGAAGCACCAGGCTGAGCTGCTTGGAGCATAGTAGTGCTTGAAGCCGCCTCTCCTCCTCCTCGTCATCAGAGTCCTCGCCATCGCGATCCTCCGAGCCGCTACGGCCGCTCGCCTCTTCCTCGAGATGATCAGCCTCTTTTCGGCTCTGGCGCTTGCTCTGTCTGCGATGCGCATCGATCTCCATTGCGAGGCTGTAGCCAGCGATGCCATCGCAGATGTCGGTCGAGCACCGAAGCAAGTACGAGACGAGCAGGTTGGTGCTGCCGCCTCCATACGGCGGCACGTGCGCCAACACGCCGAGCAGGCGCAGCCAGGCGTCGAGATAGGCGGTGAGCGTGCGCAGATGCGACGACGGATCGAACCTCTTGCGGTATCCTCGCGTGATATCTTCGAGTGCGCCATCGAGATACGAGCGCAGCTTGGCCTCCTGCTTGGGAGTGAGCGCCTTTGGAGTGGCGACTGCATCGGGTGCCGGGCGGTCTTCGGCATGCGGTGTTGGTGGGGCCGGCTGGCCTGCGTCGGCTGCAAAGACAGCGGAGAGGTCGTCGATGATGAAGCCGCCGTTGGACTGCATCTTTGCCTCTCTCACTTTGTTGGGGGTTGGTGGTCATCGTCGCAAGCCAACCGATATCAAGCCTCCCTTCGGAAGATCCGCGGCGGCACGGGCCAGATCCGATGGGCTGCTCCGCCTCTTTCTCACGCCTCAGCCTCCACTTTCCACTTTCTCGGATGCATCCCGACGCGACCGCCGCGCCAAATTTGACTGAGCCGCTGCGCACAAAAATGAAAAAAGTTGGACCCTGGCTCGAGAAGCACCAACCACCGCGAACGGTATCCAACCTTCCATGGCTATCAAGCTGCGACTCGCTGGACTGCATCCTACCGTCCAGCATGCTTGCGAACATACCCGAAGCACTCGCGCCGACTGTCGCGGTCGACCGAGCCATTGCCACACCGTAGGCAGCCATGCCGCGCAGTGGACCCATCATCTGGTCAGAAGTGAGTCTTGGCCATCCCCTTTGCCTGCCTCCTCTTACATCCAACTGACCGTCTCCGTCCCCTGCATCCTTCGTGTTGATAGACACGCCAGGAACTCTGCGAGAGCCTTCCTTACTACCGTGCGTACCAGACTGGCACGTACGTCACTGGCTCGCTCGGCGCACGCCCCTCGACCGCGGCCGCCAAGCTCCACCCTGCCTCTTCGACGCTCAAGGACTCGATTCCGTACGGCTACCTGCTTGCCGGCTGGCCGTCACGGCGCGATGTATGGGCGCATAGTGGCCGCGTCATCATCTCGCACGGTGGAGGTAAGAGCGAGGTCGCCGACGCCGCCGGTGCGAGCAGCACCAAAAAGGCCGCGCTCAAGCAGGATCAGTCGGCCAATGACAGCGTGATCCGCGCGCTGCTGCATTCGTCTCGCCATCGGCTGCCCATCGTGCTCATTGCTGCGGAGACGTATGCGCTGCTGCCGGTCCGACTGCCGTGCTCGTACGCCGTGCTTGGCTGGTACGTCATCACCGACTGCTGGGCGGAGCGCGAAGCGGCCGAGGCCAAGGACGCCGAGCAGCCGTCTGCGTTCGTGCGTTGGAAGTTTCGCTTCGAGTGGATCCCCGCACAGGGCGAGCCGTGGTGGGAGCTTCGAGACGATGCCAGGCAGGCCGGTTGGGACCCGCGCCAGCGCGTCGAGCGGTTCAGCACCGCCCAGCGTCAGATGGCCAAGCACATGCGCGGTAGCAAGCGCAAGCATGCCTCGTCGACCTCGCCATCTGACGCCGAGCCGTCGCCATCGAGATCAACCCCTGCAAAGCTATCGGTCCCGGAGAGCTTCGACGAAAGCGAGCGCGACCGCCTCCTCTATGGCCCCATCAAGACGTCGGCCACGCTCGTGTCGCAGTGCGCCGCCACGCCCGCCGGCGAGTCTCCGTGCAACGCTGCGCAGTCCGCCAGCTGTCGTCAGTGCCGCTTCGCGAGTCCGACCGTGTACGACACGGGCTGGATGTGTCTCCGTCCCGACTGCGCGCACTTCTTCCTCCTCGCTTCCTCCGGCGCGTCTCCTGACGAAGAGACGCTCGACTTTTCGCTCGCCTTTCTGCAGCCGCAGTCTTTAGCGCTCGACGTGGCGTTCCCCGGTGGCGAGCCGCCGTTTCCGCTCATCCCGCGCCGTCCCTCGTCGCGCTCGGTGGACCAGGCTCGCGGGCTATGGTGCAGCAAGTGCGGGCGTCTTAGCTGCCGCGAAGTCATCTTTCGCCCGAGTTGTGCACACTGCGGCCACGCCGTGGGCAAGTGGAAGCCGTGGCCCACCGTGTCGCCTCCGACCCTTGTGCGTGAGCTGTGGCCATCGCGCGGCGAGGCGGTGTTCTTCGACCCCGTGTTGAGCAAGACCTCGGGCATCAAGCTGCATGTGCGCAGGCACGCCGGGCTGGTGGTGTATTCGTTTGCATTTCCCGACGCGTTTGGCGACTGCGCCGTGCACGTCGTCCAGGCGGATGTGCACGCTGGCGCCCAGGAGGACGTGGCGGACCGGCTGTTCAGAGAGTTCCAGCATCACGCCTGGCCCACAGACGCTGCGGTCGACAAGGAAAGGTATCGCAGCAAGAAGCGGCGCAAGATGCCCGAACCATCCCCGGCGGTTTTGGCGGTTGACGACGCAGAGGGCAAAAACAACGCCGGGGTGGGCACGAAGCTGGTGCCGTTTCGGCGGCACGTTCTGACCCACCACGGCTGCGGCTCTGGACGCATGCTCACACAGCAATTCACCTGCAACTACGGCGTGGCGTACAAGCACGTTGTCGCCATGGGCACCGAACCGCTCGACACCACCTCTCCCGCGGTGATCAGCTCCACGCTCGACCTACTGCACACACGCACGCGCGCGGTGCTTGCCTCCTGCGCGGAGTTCAACGAGCTGTACCCTGTGCTGTATTTGGAGCATCAGGCGATGTCGTTCCACGACGATGGCGAGCCTGGTCTCGGGTCCGTCGTGTCGTCGCTCTCGCTGGGCTCGACGTGTCGGATGCGGTTCAGGCTCAAGGCGAAATGCGCTGCTGCGTTCGATGTGGCGCCACGCGATCGCGTCGTGCTCGACCTGCCGTTGAGGCATGGATCCGTCGTGGTGCAGCAGGGACACGACCTGCAGAGGAACTTTGAACACTGCGTCGATCCGCAGGGGTTTCGCATCGCCATCACCGCCAGGAGAATCGAGCCGACAACCAATGATATCGCAAAAAAATCCCGCACTAAAGCTGGATCTTCTGCGTCGTAGCGCTTGCTGCACGAATGTCAATCCTGTACGAAATGGTATCGTCTGATCACGTCGTGCGAGTGTGTGTGTGTGTGTGTGTGTGTGCGAGACGAAACACGCCGAGCGAGGGAGCGATCAAGAGCAACATGCGCTGGGCTCCAGATTTGAAGCGGCCTTGGATCTTTTCAGAATCGCATTCGAATGCGCCGACGGGCTGCTCTCGACAAACGCGAGTGCGCACGACTCGGGCTCTTGTTGCGATCCCACTGGTGCAGGCGTTGCACACGATGGCGATGCACCTATGATCACCCATGCGATTCCATCTTGCCTCGGCATCTGCTCTTGACTCGAGACAGTTTCGGAGCAGCTCTTGCCGCCAAAACTCAACGAAGCCTTGGCACCACATCCTGCGTACCAATTGCGAAAGCCAGCTCCGACCATGGGCACCGATTCGCATCAAAAGTCACACGCATGCCAAAGTGGCAAATACAGCCTCGTCTCACCACAGCCATACCCCAAACCAAAGTCAGCGTGCGGTCCTACCACCCCGGTCGACCAGGGCGGCAACAACAGCAACTCACGCCGACGCATCCCACAGCTCACCGTGCACACCATCCTCCCCTTCCTCGATGGTAAAACAAATGTTTGCGATGATATGCCCAGGAAACCCAAAAAAAGAAAACCTTTGTATGCTAGTAGAACGGCGCATTCGAGCCGTAGAATCCCTGTTCCACCGCCTTATGCGCGGGTGTTGCTTCTTCGCCCGCCCAGGGGTCGAACGCCTCCATGCCTGCACCGATGCTCATCGCCGCGAGCTGTCTCTCCACCGGCACAGCCTGCACGAGTCCCAACTCGATCGACAACGGTCGGTACGGTGGCAACCCCACCAGACCATGCCGCACCAGCAGCGCTTGCACCTCCTCGGCACATCGTTGCTTCTCGGCCCCCTCCAGGATCTCGGTAACGAGCTTGGTGACAAACTGCGACCCATGCACCTGGTCCACCAGAATCTCCTCGAGCCGATTCGAGTCGAACAGTCGATACAGCACTTGCCGCCCCGCTTCGATGTCCTCCTTCTGGCTCAGAAGCCGCAGCACCGTCTGGGAGGCAAGCTTGTGGGTGCACAGATTGACCAAATGCGGTCCAAACCTCGGTGCCAACAGGCTGAACCGCCCCGGAAGGCTCGAGTCCAACAACCACGTCACGAGCAATGCGCCGTTTTGCGATGTCGCCAGCGGGACAGAATTGAGCACGATCGCAAGTGCCACGTGCTTCATGTGGTACCTCGACACGTGTGGCGATTCGAGACACGCGCGCATGCTGCGCGATCCAAACCGTCCCTGTGCCACCTCCCAGCATCGATCCACCATGGCCTCGAAGATGAAATCCGAATGCGGCGCACCGAACGGAATCAACCTCTGCACGACGTAGTTTCCAAACTGGTCCAGCAGCAGTGGCGGGACGTAGGGGCGGATGTGGTGCGCAATGATCGCTCGTTGATCATCAGCGTGTGTGCAGTCGATGATCTTCTGCGCCGCCCACGTGCCGTTCTTATGCACGCCGATCGTCGCCAGATGCGGCGCAATCAGCTCGAGCATCGTCTTCTTCATCGGCTCGCTGCACCGCTCAAACAGCTTCTGCACCAGCGTATTCCCGATAAAGTCGCTCGACAGATCCACTATGCACGACAGATAGTCGCGCGCAATCGCGTCCGCATCCCCGGCCTGGCAGTGCGCCGTCTCGAGCCGCTTGCGCACCTCCTTGAGCCGATTGTTGTCGAACCGCTTCCCCAGCGGAAGCTCCTGCACGGGCGGAATGCGCGTGTAGTACGTCACTGCCGATCGAGGCCGCGCGACTCGGGCCACATCCGCCTCCATGTTCGGGTCCGCCGCATCGAGCTGCCTCATCATCTGCTGCAGGTCGTTGATCGTGTCGCGCGGCTTCATCTCGGCGGGCAAAGGCACGCCGCCCTTGTCGCTGCTCGGCACGATGCTGTTCGACGAGCTGTGCGTCGGGAACCCAGCCACGCGGCCGGGCGTACTTGCGGCGCCTCCTCGCGACGACTCTGTGCTCTGGTTGCGAGACAGCCCGTGCGAGCCCACCAGGCCCGGCTGCAAGTGCTGCCGCGCTGTGAGGTCGTAGCCGGCATTGGCGCGGTAGTCCGCCTGACCCATGGCCATCTGTGCATCTTGCGGCGGCGGTGGGCCAGCGGCTGACATGGACGCCAGCATATCCATCGCAGCCTGGAATTCGGCCGAGCCGGGATCGAGCGCTGCAAAGTAGCCCTCGGATGGCTTGGGTGGAACCTTGGCAAAGCCGATCTTGACGGCGCCCACCTCGGGCCCAAGCACGTCGCGGCCGTTGAGCAGCTTTCGCGCGGTCATGGCGTCTTCGGTGCGCTCAAAGTTGATGAACGCGCAGCTCTTGCTCGACAGTACGCGCACGCTTTCGATGGAGCCAAACGGCGCAAACACCGACACAAGCACATCGCTCGAGGTGGTTGGCGGGATGGAACCGATCCACAGAGCGCGCGACGGTTCGTGGTTGGCCGCCTCGACGCCGCCGAGCTCTGCGGCTGCTGCGTCGAGCGACGATGCGTACGAGTCGAGCATGGGTGTGAATCCGCCCAAGCCGGGCTGGGGCACCGCCTCGGGTTTGCCAAAGCCGACGCGCACCTGAGCCTCGGGCCCAAGCGTGCCGAGCCCCAGCCGACCTCCGAGGCGCGCCACGACGTCTTCCCTTGCGCGCACGGCATCTGCGAGCTCGACATAGTTGACGAACGCGCAACCCTTTTCGGGCACCAGGCGGAAGGTTTCGATGGCGCCGTAGGGCGAGAATGCCTGGACTAGCTCTTGGCTCGTGACGGTGGGGCGCAGATGGCCGATCCAGAGGGAGCGCGTAGGCTGAAGGAAGGGCGAGTTGGAGCCGGAACGTTGTGCCGACTTTGGCTGTGGGGATCGCGCCGAGGCATACATGTCGAGCGAGGGCACGGGTTCGAGCGTGCCCGACGAGCTGGGCCGCGCCTGAGCTTGGATTTCCCTTCTGAGGGCCGCCTCGTACTGGAGCTGGGTCATGCGCAGCAGCTCTTGCTCGGCTCTGGCGCGGCCGCCGGGACCGGAGAAAGCTGCGATGGTGCCGGCGCGATTTCGACCGTTTGCGAGCAAGCCCGAAAGGTCGTCTGAATAGGCGCCAATGGCGGCGGAAGGCACGCCAAGGCCTGATGAGCCAGCGGAGCCGGGGGGCGTGAGATGCGATGCGCCCGGTGCAGCGGCGGCGGCGGAGGGCGTAGGCCGGTAGGGAGCGTGCGGGTGTTCGCGAGATTGGGGCTGATCCAAGACGCCCATGCTGGTGGCACGAGGCCTGGATGCGTTGATGGGAGCCCGACCGGAGAGAGGCGCGGCGGAAGAAGCTGCGGCGCTGTACTGGTGGAGACGGTTGTGGAGGGCGGTGTTGAGGAGCGACGAGTGTGGTGGTTGCTGGGCATAGGGCGTCTGTGTTCCCGAGAGGGTGGTGGCTCTGGCGAGGCCCTGGGAGTGGATTGGCGCTGATTGAGGATTTGTGTCGGCGGTGGTGGCGGCGGCGGCGGCGCTGAATGCAAAGGAGGGGAGATAGCTGCTGCTGCGAGCGCGACCGGCTTGGCCCTGGTTGAGGGTGGGGCGTAGTTGGTGGACGCCGAGCGTAGAGGAGCGGTTGCGCAGCTGTGCGGAAGAGTAGAAAGCGCCTTGGTCGGCGAGATGGCGGCCGAGATCTGTGGAGAGGTGGTCTGTGTGATGGGCGAACGAGTCCGAATCGATGGGGCCCGAGTGGGAAGGTGCCCGGGCGTCGAGGCCGAGGTAGTCGAGCATGTCGGCATGGTCGAAGGAGAGCTGAGGGGTGGAGTCTTGGGAAGGGTGGAAGGGAGAGTACTGTTCTTCGTCGGTGGTTGCTGATGTCATGTGGCTGAGACCGGAGCGGGTGGGTTGCCATTGGGAGGAGAAGAAGGAAGGACCGAAAGCATTCGCCAGGTTGGGTGCTGGTAGCGTGAGCGATCCGGAGCGAAGGCGCTGCGAAGTTTGTGGAGGAGCGAGTCGGGTGGAAGGGGCAGGCAGAGCATCGTTGGTGGCAGCGAGGGATGGGAGAGCCGAGTCGAATCTTGTTGGGTCGATGTGAGCCAAAGTTGGCTGGTCTACCGCAGGGTTGTTGTTGGAGGAAGGATGGGGAGGTTGGAAGGCAAGGTTGGAGAAAGGAGGTTGGTGAGGATGAGGTGGTGGGACTGCATCGCCCCAGCTGGAGGGAAGGGTGCCTGCGCGAGCCCTGCCTCGATTGGAGCGGGCCGGATTGGCGGGCTCGATGATGGGGTCTGCGTCGTTGGCGATGCTGGCGATGCGATATGGGGGTTGGGAGTTCCACGGCTCGTCGGCCTGCAGTTGTAGTGCTCGTCTGGACATGGTGGGCGGTGAAGCCGCGGCGGACGAGGGCAAGTGGCAGCACGCAGCGGCTAGACGAGGCGAGTGGTGGGCGAATGCAGCATGACCCAGGGGAAGCTTTGGCGGCTGTTGGTGGTTGAAATGGTTGTATGGGATCCTAGGACGACATTGGAGGGTCGAGCGAGCGAGACTGAATGCGGTGTGTTTTGCTGTACGATGTTGCGGGTGAGATGCGCGACGGAGTTGAGATTGGCGATGGCGAGTCGGAGGTGTGTGTGTGTGTGTGCTAAAGACGATGGGTGCGCCGTGCGCTGATGGGAATGCGAGAGAGAGAGAGTGTGTGTGTGCGTGTGTGTGAGAGAGAGAGTGGCACAGAGACAGCGCATGTGATTCCAGCTCAGCAGCTCAGCAGCAGCAGCAGCAGCAGCCGCCGCACCGAACCAGCGGCAAGGCAGCCTTGAAGAGCTCAAAATTGCAGCCACGCGCGCTTTTGCCTTTTGGGTCCGGGCTGGCCAGGGTCGATCAGCTGGCTGCACGGCGGTTATCGCAAGGAAAGCGCCCCGTGCGCATCTCGATTCAAAGTCCCGATCCGATTTCTCTGCTTTTTCCGCGGGATCTACCGAGCCCAGAATTCACCCGCTCATCCCAGCAGCGCTGACTTGACTGATTCCAAGGCACGCACGCCGCACGCTCAACAATCACAGCGTTCTATGCTTGCATGCCTCGACGAGTCGTTCGTTGGTCGATACACTGGTTGGCAGATTGGGTTCGGGCGCGTTGGGCATGGAGCTAGAGAAGAGCCGGGGGGCGTGTGAAGAAAGAAGCCTGGCTAGGCGAGGGCGTGGGTGCGCCACTCCGAGACGCTGGGAACGGAGGATGCCAGCAGCAGCAGCAGCACAGAAGGAGCACAGACCAGCACCGCATCCTTCCGGGACGGGAAGATGCAAATGCCGTATCCAGGGCAAGAAGAGAGGCAGGTGGTGGCGCGCGCCTCGTCTAGCGTCAGCGTGACGTGCCATTACGTTTTTTTGGCAACTCGCCGCCTCCTCCCCGATGGCACACGGACAGCCGATGCTGAGCTGCGTGTGTGTGACTGTTGCTGCTGGCTCCCACACGCGCGGTCAGCAGGACGGACGTGCGCCGAGCGAGCCATCCATCCATCCATCCTTCCGTCCATCCGTCCGCGCCCGTCGACGAATCCCTGCGACTGAGGAGGGGCGGCTCAGCTGTCCAATTTCGACTTTTCTTTTTGGATTTTTGCACATTTTTTTTTCGCCTGCTTCTCTGCTGTTCGGTGAGTCAAGGCACCAGGGCGGTGTGAATTGCAGCAGCAGAGAGCAGGCACGCAGGCCCCCAAAGGCCTCGAAAGGCTGATTCAGCTGGCTGTGTGTGGTGTCCGTTGGTTGGCGCGCGATGCTCTGCGTCTTGCTTTCCTCTCTGAGCTGCCGCGCCTCTCGTTTGGGTCACAGCGAGCCGCCGACTGCTGAGCAGCAGCTCTTCTTCTGTCCGCGGCTGAGCTGAGTCTCTCTCTCTCGCTTTTCCTGCCTCGGCTCCTCAGCTGCTCTGCCGGTGCGCGCTTCCACCTCTGCCTTGGGCGCTGCCACGCTCTTCCTTCCGCCGCCGCCGCCGCTGCTATCGTCCCTCCAAGTCTTCTCGCCATCACCTTTCCACCACCTCAACACCCGTCTGCTCTATTCCACCACCGTACATCAGCTTCCAACACCGCTTCCCTCGCCTCTCGACTTCCAACGCTCCTGATTTTCCCGCTCTTTCACCTCGGCGCTTCCCACATCGACTCGATCCAACAACCGCACCTCGCACAACGTCCATACACAAGCGCACACCTTTTCTCGTCTTCGAATCGATATCACTGCCGCAAGCGCAAATCGCCCCCCCCCCCCTCAACATCCCAACACACCATCCCTCCGCCGCCTATCAACTCTTTTGCCGGGCAGCGGATGATGAACAGCCTCCCTCGTGCTTAAACCAGCCACGGTGCACCATCTTTGAACATCGTTCGCCGCTCCATCCGCAAACTCAAGCGATCCGATCCAGTCACAGCCGCAGGTCATGGCCGCCACCAGAGCTCGCACAGAACTCGCCGCAGCCGCAGCCTCAACCCCCAAAAATGACACATCCCTAGACTCTTCCCGCCAAGCGGCGCCCACCCCGGCTGATGCCTCTACCGACAACACCCCGGCACGCCGCACCACCACTCGCACCCGCAAGCTCCCCAGCCGTCTCCTCCCTTCGCCTTCGCCTCCCCCCTCTCGCCCCACCTCGCTCTACAACGCAGCCAAGCATGCAAAGGGAGGCAGAGACTCGGCAGACCCCACAGACGCCTCATCCGCGCTCTCCTCCCCTACATCCGCATCCGCAGCACCCACTCCAAAGACGCGAAAGCCAAGGCCTCCCGACGTCGAAGACCCTCTCGCCGATCCAGACACCTCCCTCGACACCTCCCAAGATCTCGGCCCGGGCAAGCGCAAGCGTCGCCCTAGCAGCATGTACAAGCCGCCTTCCACCTTGACCTCGGTCGAAACGCCTTCGCCTGCCACCAATCTCGCCGCCACCGCCGCCGCCAAAGCAAAGAAGAAGGGCCGCAGCCAGAGCCCAGACACCTCGACTCAAACCACCACAGCCTCGGCCACCAAACTCAAGCGTCGCTTGTCCAAGGGCAAGTTCGAGTCCACCCCTTCGTCTCTGAACAAGACAGACGCCGCCCACATCCACGCCGACGATTCCGAAGCCGAGCTCGAGTCCATCCGCCACTCGAGCGCCTCCAAGCGAGCCCGACTGGACGATGCCGACGATCTCGATCTCTCGCCTCCTCCTCTGCTCCCACGCGACGGATCCGCACGCGTGCGCATGCCCACCCACTTCACGCAGCCCACCTTCATCCGCGGCGGCCGTGTGAGCGTGTCGCCCGAAGCTTCCGCCAAGCGTCCCGTCACGTTTGGCATTCGCGACTTCAACCGTCCTGCATTCCATCATGCCGACGCAGTCTCGGGCGACCGCCACAAGACTCCTTATTCCGCCATGGCGGTCAAGCGCAGTGCTCCAGCCAAGCGTTCCGACATCATGTCGTCCTCGCCCATCTCGGCTGGCGTGGCCAAGTTCGAGAGCGAACCCGGCGCACCGCTCACCTATGTGCCTTTCCCATGCGCTGCACGCAGCCTGGGCCGATTCCACATTATGCGCGCCAACCCCTTCGCCCACGAGCAGATGGACGTCGACGACGACGACGAAGAGGAAGACGACGACGAGAACGACTTCCACCAGGCCATGCTCGACGCCGACTTTGACTTTTTCGATTCGCAAAAGGCCGACGGCAACGCCACCAACAACCTCTGGAACGTCTCGCAGCGAGCCGCCACCGAGGATGCCGCCGTCGAGGACGACGACACGCCCGCCACCACGCCGAGGAGCCCGCAGTCGGGGTGCGACCTGCCTTCGCCCGACAGCCCTCGCTGCAAGTCGGAAGACGAGGCTCAGCCGCTGCGCACCGACGACTCGGGCATGGCGTTCAATGCGGTGCGCGACTCGGTGTTTGTGCACGCGCTGCCCACGACGCAGGTGGGAGCGGACAAGGCGTGCCAGCACGCGGGCTCGCTCACGCTCTCGCTGCCCTACACGCCGGGCGTGGCGGTGTCTTCTCCGCAGCTGCGCGCCAGGGAGCTCGAGTTGGACGGAGGCGCTGGAGTGCGAGGCACGGGCGATGCATCGAGCCTCACGCAGACGGGCACGCCGGTGCTGCAGCGTCGCAAGCATGCGGCGCTGGGCGGGGATGGCGCGCACGCGCTTGCGCCGCTCAAGCTCGGGGCGGAGCTGATGGAGCGAGGCTCGTCGCACTCGGCGACGTACATGCAGCTGTCGCCGATGATCGAGATGGACTCGCCTCTGCTCAGCCCGGGCCTCACGCTCGGCATGCACGCCATGCACGCCAAGGGCACCGACCTCCCGAGCCCCTTTATCATGGGTGTCGACTCGCTGCCTGAGCTCGAGCATCCTGCTGCGCTCGATTTGGCGGCTGCCGACGGCTCGACCACGCCCAAGACGTTCCATCCCGAGGCGATGGACGATGCCGTGCTGCCCGCCGCGACGACTGTGAGCACTGCAGCCAGCCAGACGGTGGAGGCGCCCTCGGCACCCAAGCCGGAGCCCAAAGTGGCGCCTGCCAAGGTGGAGAAGCCGGCTGCGCGTCGGCCTGCACTGCCACCGCCTCGTCAGATCCGATTTACGACCCTGGACACGCCTAGCAACGATGCGACTGCTGCCACCCTCCCTCGCGGCGCCCCCCAGCAGCAGCAGCAGCAGCAGCAGCAACAACAGGCGTCGACTTTGCAGCAGCATGCAACGAGTGGCAAAGTGGAGCAAGCTACGCCGGAGCTGGTGCACTCGAGCTCGTCGTCGCCCGACTCTGGTTCGGATTCGCCGAGCCCCGTGTCGCAGGCGGGATCGAGTGGATCGGGCGAGGCCGAGGTGGAATCGCTCCTGTTCGGGCCTCCTGAAAAGCTGGAGCTGCACGAGCTCGACAGTGCCTGGAACGGATCCAAGGCGGCAGCGCTGCGTCTGACCCAAGTGCGCCATGTCGACGTCGGTGCCTCTCGCACGTAAACCCACCACCACCACCACTCTTTCTCACACCGCCACTCTTATGTAACAACAGCTCTCAGTCTCCTTTGCCCCCGGCATCGTCCTTGGCAAAGCTGAGGAAAAAAACAGCCGCCCCCCCCCTCTCTCCCCCACCGCTTTCTCTCTGGAAAAAGAAGGGAACTGTGCCCGCTAGTGCAGTGCCTTAGTGTAGTTTTTTTTCGAGCCCCCTCCATCGTCCAGATCTATATTCGTTCAAACTCTTTATTTCCAATGTAACAACAAGGTTTCCATTTCTTGCTAGCGTAGCGAAGCGGAGTGCAGTGTAAGGTAGCATGGTGTATAGTTGAGGGGGAAATGGGGTGGCGATGGTGGGGGATGGTGGGGATGGTGTTGGATGAAATTGGGTGGTGACTTCTGTGTGTGGGGGGTGGGGATTTTTCGAGGGGTTATTTTGTCACGCGCGCGCGTGTTGAAAGCGAGAGAGAGAGGGGGGGGCAATTCTTATCTGCCCCCTCCGAATTGAGCTGGGCGGTTGCGCGGCGAGCCAAAAGTGGAGGCTGAGCTTGGGCAACAAACACCCCTCCCTCTTGCTCTCCGCAACACATGGCGCCATACCCTACCACCATCTTTTGCGGCGTGCTTTCCACATCGACAGACATTCAGCTCTGGACGCTTGTGCAACAACACGCTTTGAAACCGATTCGTCCGCAGTGCTGTATAACACCATTCTACGAAGTTCGACTAGCTTTGTGCATCCATCAGCCGACCGCCAATTCAGCTTTGCGAGAGAATCGGGCATTGGCACCAACCAACAGTCTGCTTGGATCCACATCGGTGCTTCGTCTGTCAATCACCAATCCAGCTTCGACAGCGTCGGACATCGGCACGACGCTTGAAGCAGCGAACGCCTGCCACGAGTTCGTAGAGCCGAGTCCGGCGCAGATCTGCTGTCGAACAGCGTGCTGATCGACGCTCTCGACGCAGCAGTGACCACTCCGCTCACTCGGTAACAGTACCGCGCTTGGAAAACGACACTGTGCTTCCGAGTCAGCGCAGCGCACAACAATCGTCAGCACCGCGCTTGGATTCGCCGCACACCGTTCACGAGCTCGATATAAAGCCTCAGCGCGTCTGTCTCTGCCACCGCCGGCCATGGCTCCATCAACCACGATGCGGCTGCTTCTCTTTGCACTGCTGCTCGCGTGCAGTCTCAATGCGGTGCTAGTGCAGGGCCTGGTTCCACCACGATCTCCACCCAACCCAACACTGTACGAGCAGCCTCTGGCGCTCTCGTCCTACCTGCAGCGCGTCTTCACCGCACCCATCACTTCGCTGTTCAGCTTTGCGCCACACAAACCAACAAAGCCCGTAAAGAACCTCAAAACTTTCGGCTTGCGCGAGGCGTACCACCAAGGACTCGGCGACAAGGCGCACGAGCGCGCACGCGCGCGGTACGATTTCCGCATCAGCGCCAACGACCTCCACGCCAACACCGCGAGCGACGACTACATCCCGCGCATCCTCACCACGCGCCAGCGCGTGACGCGCGCCAAGGACCCGCGGCGCTACCTCGAGGTGCGCGGCGAATCGTACCGCGATGCAGTGTGTGCGGCATCCACGGAGCTCGACTGGGAAGACGTGGAGTTGGAGGTGCCGGACGTGACGGATCGCACCACCGTGCTCTCGTTCGCAAAGATGGCGGCGGCGGCGTACAAGAACGACACGTCCGACTGGGATGGCATGGGCGGCTTCGATCCGACCAACTCGTTTGGCTGGGAGGGCGACGGCATCCGTGGGCACATCTTTACCACGCACGACAACGACACGATCGTCGTCGCGCTCAAGGGCACCTCGAACGCCTTCCTCGGAGGCGGCGACACGGCGCGGCGCGACAAGACCAACGACAACCTGCTCTTTTCGTGCTGCTGCGCGCGCGTGTCGTGGAGCTGGACCACCGTGTGCGACTGCTACCAGGGCCACGGCGATTCGTGCGGCCAGACGTGCGTCGAGCGTGCGTTGATCGAAAAGTCGCTCTACTACCCCGCCATCACGGACCTCTTCAACAACGTTTCGTACGCCTACCCCGACTCGCAGGTGTGGATCACCGGCCACAGTCTCGGTGGCGCACTCTCTTCGCTGTTGGGTATGACGTTCGGTGTGCCCACGGTGACGTTCCAGGCTCCAGGCGAGCGCATGGCTGCACAGCGACTGCATCTTCCGCTACCACCGGCACGTCATCCCGAAGAGGACCCTGTGGCGGCACTGCCCATCGTGCACGTGTACAACAATGCCGACCCCATCGCCACGGGCCAGTGCAACGGCGCCGCGAGCGTGTGCTCCAGCTTCGGCTACGCCATGGAAAGCAAGTGCCACGCGGGCAAGAGCATCGTCTACGACACGGTGGGCAAGCTCGGCTGGTCGCAGACCATCAACGCGCACCGCATCAACTCGTTGGTTGACGACGTGCTCACCGAGGACTGGAGCGACAAGGTGCGCAAGAAGAAGGCCAGGCTCGTGGCTCAAAGTGACGTGGGCACGCGGGGATGGAGGTGGCCGTGGCATAGGGGGGAGGATGCCGACGATGGCGGGGATACGGACAGCGATACCGACGAGGACGACAAGCTCGCCGTGCCAAGCGCAAGGTCCGAAGAAAAGTGCCGCGACTGCACCAACTGGCACTTTACCGACGATGCTCCCGAGTCGTAGCACCCCTCCTCAGCCGCATTACATTAGTCTACATCAGAACATTACAGTGAAAGACAAGGGTCCAAACCAGTGTGGCAGCGGTGGTGGGTGTGGGTGTGAGGCGTTGAAAAGGGCGTTTTTTTTGGTCTGAGCGTGTTAGAGTGAGTGGTGGGGGGTTGGTTGGCGTGCTGGCTTTAAACTTAGCACCGCCTCTTTGCCGAAGCTGCCGAAGGTGCTGCTGCTGCAGCTGGTGGTGCTGCTGTTGGCGAGACGCGCGCGCCTCACACCTGCAGGGCTGGGCGGAGGGGCGCTCTTCTGACCCTTTCACCATCTCGAGGCGGGCTTAGCTGGAGACTCTGGCGTCCGCAGATGCAACGCATCCCCCACCACACACCTCTGCACACATCGCGGTAGAAGCTACAGCTTTATAGAGATGTCCAACGCATACTACGCGCAGCAACCGTCGCGGCGAGCTGCGTACGACGACCCGCTCGCAGCACCGTACGCTTCTCAATCGCGGCCCAACTTTACGCACATGCACGACAGCATGGACGGTGCGGACTACCACCACTTCCACGGCGCGGAGTCGCACGCTCCGCAGCCGTACCACGATCCGTACGCCACGCTCACCCCCGGCGACGACCGGCTGCGCGCCGACTGGGACGACTCGCGCTATTCCAAGGACCTGCATTCGGACGATGCGCACGACGCCACGCTGCGCCCCACGCACTATACCCTCGCCAAGGACGACGATACCGGTCGTATCGGCTACGGCCGTGGGCATCGGATCGAGGCCACCGACGGCTTGCTGCCAGATACGCCTCCGGATCCGAGTCGGCTCAACGCCGAGCAGCGCGAGATCATGAAGCGCTTCCCCGCGGACCTCGACGCGCCCGGCGGCGGCAAGAGCGGCATCCAGGCGGCCATCGACCTGCTCAAGGACTGGAAGTCGTGGTTCCAATTGCGCTACCTCCACTGGTGGATCATGCTCGTCGTCGTCATCGCCATTGTAGCGCTCACCACCATCTACCACCGTCAGATCGTCGACTGGCTCACGCCCATCTCGAAAAAGGTCACCACCGTCGCATGGGGCTGGATCATCCCCGTCGCCATCCTCTTCATCATCTCGTTCCCACCGCTGTTTGGGCACGAGATCGTGCTCATCCTCGTCGGACTCGTGTACGGCATCTGGATCGGCTTTGGTATCGCATCGCTCGGAACGCTGCTCGGCGAAATCGGCAACTTCTACGCGTTCAAGCACTGCCTCCGCTCCATGGCCGCGAGCTACGAGCGCAAGAACATCCACTACGCCTGCATGGCCGAGATGGTGCGCGACGGCGGATTCTGGGTCATGTTCCTCGCACGCCTCAGCGCCATCCCCGGCCACTTCACCACCGCCGTCTTCGCCACCGTCGGCATGAACATCTTCGTCTTCACGCTCGCCGCCATCCTCGCACTCCCCAAACAGCTGCTCATCGTCTACCTCGGCGTAGCCATCAAGAACTCGGGTGATGGCACCGAGGATACCAAGAGCAAGATCATCAAGTACGTCGTACTCGCCATCAGCTTTGTCATTACGGTGTGGACGGCGTACTGGCTGTACCAGAAGATGGAAAAGGTCAGGCCCGCGGTGAGTGCGAGGTTGAGGCAGAAGCGGTACGAGCTGTTGCTGCAGGCACGCACGCCGGGGACAGAGGGGTATAGTGGCGAGCACCATTCTTATCCGCCGCGCATGGGCGGCGCGTACAGACAGCCTTTTGGCGTAGACGAGATGTACAATGGTCATCCCGCCGACGTGTCGAGCGAGTCGTACGATCCTCCGCCCCCGACGCACATTGCGCAGGGGCGACAGCCTATCCTTCGCGACCCTCGCTCACAAGCTCCACAACAACATCCTCCGCAGGCCGTTCCGGTGCAGGCATCGCAGGCCGCCGAGACGAGGCAGTTCCACCGCCCCATGCGCGTGCGCTCTCCGCACGACGAAGCCGCGCCCCTAACCAGCTCGACTGGCGAATGGGCCTCCTCCTCTTCCCTCGCTAGTCCTGTTGATGCACCTCCCCCGGACTATACCACACACCTCGCGGCGGCGCACATTGTCGATCCCACAGTGCAGCGCTACCATCTGCACGACTGAAGCGCCTTTCTTAATGCCATTGATTGCTGTGCTATACAATATCGCCCTCGTCATCGATCGTACTAAGTCCCTGATCGAGCAGACTCACGCTGCCCTTGTCGCTAACCACGAGGAAGCGGATGATCTCGAACGGCGCATGTTTATGCGCGCGGATGCTGGTGAAGTACACTGTTGCCTGGTCGTCCTCCTTGTCGGTGGTGATCTTGAAGCTGAGATCCACGCGGCCCTGCATCATATTCACCGCCCCCTTCACATGCGGCACGCCTCCCAACCACAGCTCTCGCTTGAGCACCGGTGTTGACGAGAGGAGCGAGTGGACCGAGGCTGACGACTTGACCTGCGCCAGGATGGACTTGAAGATGCTCGACGACAGCTTCTCCTTGTTCGTCGCATACACCGTAAATGCTCCCCAGCTGCCGACGGCTGCGGTGGCCGCAAAGGCCAGCAGGGGGAATGTGTTGGGCACGGGTGGCAGCTCGCGGCGTGCGGTGCGCGTCGTGTACCCGCGTGTACCGAGCAAGAGTGTCCGTGGAAAGAGCCGACCAATCATCCTATCCTAAACCCCGATGGTGGACGATGCGTGCTGGTTGTTGAGGGCCCGAAGGATCGCCGCTGAGTCCTACCGAATATCGTAGCTCCGTTGGGCCAGAGAGTGTGCGAGACGGACGGGTCGAGATGATGGTGAGCGGCCAAGTGACATTTTCTGGGCAAGCGCCTCACAAAATCCCTCCACAAAAAAAGCATCCGTGCGCTTAGTCACCACCCCGCCCCACCACCAAGCAAAATCAACAGCATCGCCACGGTGCACCACCATCAAACTTGGCTGCCACCGCTTGCAGTACCCAGCCCCAGCGCAAGACGCCACACAAAGTGCGGCACAAAGCGCTCATCCATCTCTTCAATCCAGTCTTGGCTCACTCTCCACCCAATGCCAAGTTTTTCGTGCGTGTGAACATGCCTTTCCAAGAATAATCGAGAGCGTGCTACCAAGGTAGCTGATTAGCTCGCGCTTCTCACAGTCTGTTCACCTGAAAGTCGGTTCGCATACACAGCATCGTCATCCCAGGCACAGAGGATTGACCGCTTGTTGCCGGTTTCAGGCTTTGGAGCAGGCGCTTATCGGCAACGATGACGAAGAGAGCGAGCCGCTTGCAATGCCGATGCGGCAACAATTGGTGCCTGTCCTCTTTTGTCACCACGTGCACCGCTCCGAGTCAGTTGCTTCCTACATGCGTACCTGACCTCGCATCGCACTCGCCTTGTTGTCGCTGTCTAGAAACCCCTCTATTTAAGCTGCATTAAAGCGTCTCATGATCTCAGCAAGCGCTGCAAGTGACCTTTGCGCGACGCTTGCCACCTGTCTCGACCATGCTTCGCGCCACTGCCACCCAACTGCGCTGGACGAGCTCATAGCAACATCGATTGGCAGCTTATCAGTGACAGGCCCGGAATACTGGGTATTGACTGGCATGTATCCAAAAAAAACGTGGGAACGCACCTCTCGGGCACAGCTTTTGCATCATCCCCCCTTGGCATCGCCCACACGCCCACCCACAGCACAAAGCTTATGAATCAATCGGATCGGCCAAAAAGTATGCCTAACAGTCGACCAAACATGAGGCTGATCAGCTGCACGTAAAGCATGCAGGTACCGAGGGAGGGAGCGTAGCAAACGTCGCACCGTGGTGGCGATCCGATGCTGCAGGAGGGGTGCAATGGTCATGCAATCGTCCCAAGGTCAAGTCGATCGCTTCGGGCGTGCACGCCTCCTTTCCATCTGCACATGTGCCCATGACGTGCAGCGATTGAAAGTGAGCGATTGTGTGTGAGAGACAGCGGCACGGCTTTCAGCATCCGCCCCCTGCATCGCCAACTCGCACAAACGCACACCGCACTAAGCTCATGAAGCTTGGTCGTGGCGGCAAAAAGCATGCCATGCTCACATCCGAAAGTGTGGGTGCGCAGGTCATCGGCATGGAAAGCATGCATTCACCGACCGAGAAGAACCATGCGCACGGATGACGAAAGTGGAAGAGACGAGCGAGTGTGAGAGAGAGACTTCGGCGCAGCTGCCGCATCGTCGCCCCAGCATCGTCCGAACCCACAGCGTTCCAAGCACGACTAAATCACACGCGTGTTCAAGCAGGACATCAAGCATTTGACCAAAAGGACAAACAATCGAGAAGGTATGAGGTCGAAGAGAAGAGCGAGCGGGTGAGTTTGTGCGAGAGACGGAGAGAGAAAGAGAGAGAGAAGCGGCTTGAGGCGATAAAAAGGGCACGAGAGAAGGCGGGATGGAGAAACAGCGTCACTTGTGCATCACATCTTCCATTCGCACAACCGACAGCGCAGAAGCTTGTCAACTTGATCATTACGCAGAAGCGGGACACCAAACACTCGACCCCACAAGAACGACTTGAGCGAGAGCAAAAAGTAGAAGTGAGGAACGGGTGATTGCGTTGAGTGAGTTTGTGTGAGAGAGAGCGGCGGCGACGGGGAGGTAGACAAAGGCGCGCGTGCCAGACCAGGAGAGATAGAAAGAGCAATTCAGCTTCCGCATTGCGCGCCCGCTGAAAGAGAAGGTTCAGAACCAGATCACTACGAGAGAGAGAGCAAGTCGGGCAGACAAGCGCCAAAAGCAACTTATGAACACCATCATCTACGAACTCACACATGCGTCGAAAGAAACACCAAGCATCTGACCAACAGAATGCACCCGTGAGGGACAAAGCTCGAGAGACAGGAAGAGAGAGCGAAAGAGGAGAAGTCAAGTGCGCGCTGAATGAGCATGAGAGAGAGAAAGGGAAAGCGACGAGGAAGCAGCGTCACAGCTTCAGCATCATCCGTGCATACATCGTCCATTCGCACAACTCATAGCAGACCTAGCTCACCGCACAAACTCGGTCACTGCGCCAAACCAGTCACAAGCCTGTTCAAAGGGAGGGACGCCAAGCAATTGACCAAAAAAGTAGATCAAGGCGCAAGGCAGGGACCGAGAGAGACAGTTTCTCAACCCCTGCATCGCCAATCTGCACTCCAACCGCCAAGCCGCTTGTGTACTTGACCAATGCGGCAAAAGCATACAGACACCCCCCGGAGACGAATCATGCGCCCAGCGAGAGAGAGAAAGAGAAAGGGGGTAGAAACGTCACGCCTGCATCAACCCTGGCATCGTTCAAACCCACAGCACAAACAGCCTATGAACATGATCATTACGCCACGAGTGTTGGAGGGGGGGCCACACCAACCTCTGACCAACAGCCAAGACACGAGTGTGTGTGTGTGTGTGTGTGTGTGTCAAGTGAGCGAGCAACTGCTTCTGTATCGCCGCATCCGCACGCCAATTTGCACTCCAACCGCAAAGCAGCCCAGAGAGAGCGACAAGCTGTAAGAGAAGAGCGAGTGAGTGCGAGATACGAAGAACCAGCGGGAGAGCATTTGCCAGGGGGGGCCGGGGACGAGGCGACAAGAAGGCACGAGACAAGGCGGAAGAGTTGAGACAGCTTTTCGCTCCTGCGTCGCCAACTACAACGCATTCCTTACGCCAAAACAGCTCTTGACCCTGATGATCACCATACGCAGGACAATTTCACACGCCAGACAATTGACCAACAGAACAAACAAGCGAGAGCGACAAGGTACAAGTGGCGAGCGCCTGAGTGCGAGATACGAAGAACTAGCGCAAGAACATTTGCCAGCGGCGGTGACAAGGCGATAAGAAGGCACGAGAGAAGGTGGAAGACAGCCTCTCACTCACAGTGTGACTCAGGCCCACATGCAGACGCCCGCAGCAAGAACAGCTCATCAAATTGACCATTGCGGAGGACAAAATTGCACACACACAACACCAAGCAATTGACCAAAAAAAAACAATAAAACACGATAGAGAGAGAGAGAGGGAGAGAGAGAGAGAGAGAGAGAGAGAGGGAGAGAGAGAGAGAGAGAGCCACAAGGTAGAAGTGAAAGGCGGAGCAAGTGCGTCAAGTTCGCAAGTGAGTGTGCAAAAGGCCGAGAAGCGGCCATGAGGCGCACTTGCTGCATCCACTTCGCCTACTTGCACACACCCGCATCGCCCGATCACAGCGCACAAAGCTTATCAACTTGGCTACCGCCGAGCACAAAATCGCCCACACGTATAGCAGGGAGCAACACCAAGCAATTGACCAAAAAAAAAAAAACAATAAAACGAGACAAAGAGAGCGGAAGTGAAAGTGAAGAGCGAGTGACTGTGCGTTAGAGAGAGAGAGTTGGCGAGTACGGTGAAAGAAGGCGTGAGGGCGAAGGGGTGGGGGGAGTCGCAAGCGAGCAATGATGATAGAGGCAGAGGCCGACGCAGGTGCTCGCGCGTCCGCGGGTATGGTTGCCACGCAGCGCTCATGTGCCCTCGGATCCTTTGCACCAACTCAGCCGCATCGGCAGGTGAGCACGTCGACGAGCTTCTGGCCGAACGTCTTGCGCTCCGCCGGGTGCTCCTCGCCATTGGCGATGCCCACCGCCTGGCGTGCGTCGGCGCCGCGGCCGCGTGCGTCGAGGTTGGCGGACGACATGCCGGTGGGCGTCATGTGGCCCACGTGGCTGTGTTCCCGGGTGCCCGTCTGCGTGGGGATGCCGGCGACAGTGGCGTCGTGCACGGCGACGTTGGAGGCGTGGCCCACACCGCCGTAGCCGGAGCCGTTCTGGTTGAAGTCGGCGTGGCTGGCGCGCAGCTGCGCCGCTTGGGATCGCTCGCTCTGCATGTGCTGCTGTGCGCCGCCCGACTTGCGCGCGCCCTTGGAGCCGTTGCGGGCGAGGGCGGCGTGCTGCTGCTGCTGTTGCTGCTGCTGCTGCTGCTGCTGCGCGGCGGCCGAGGCCTGGGGTGCGGCGGATGCGCGCGTCTCGCGATGGCGCTCGCGGTCGTCGCGACGGTCGCGGTTGGTGCCGGCCTCCCAGCCCTTGCCGTTGTTGAGGAGCATCCAGTCGAATACGCCGTCCTCCTGCTCGCCGGAGCTCTTGAGCACCTTTGTAAAGAGCTCGCGCAAAAAGTCGTAGTCGGGCGTCTCTTCGAAGCCGAGCTTGCGGACGTAGTTGAGGTAGATGCCGAATTCCTCGGGGAAGCCCTCGCAGAGCTCCTTGATGGGGGTGCTTTGCTTCTTCTCGCCGATCTTTTCGTACTTTTGCTTGTTGGTGGCGGCCTTGAGGCCCTGCCATGGGAGGCCGCCGCGGAGGAAGTACATGAATACGTGGCCGAGCGCCTCGAGGTCGTCTCTGCGCGACTGTTCGCGGCCGAGGTGGGTGTTGATGGACATGTAGCGTGCGGTGCCGCTGAGGGACTTGCGCTCGCGGTAGGGGATGTGCTGCTTTGTCTTTGGATCGCGGTACTGCTTTGCCATACCAAAGTCGACGACGTGGACGAGGTTGGCGCCCTTGGTCATGGGCCTGCCGATGAGAAAGTTGTCGGGCTTGATGTCGCGGTAGATGAGGTTCTTTTCGTGGATGGTCTGTACACGTGTGATCATCTGCTTTGCGGTCATGACGACGGTCTTGATGCTGAACTTGCGGCCGCACATGTCAAAGAGGTCTTCGAGCGAGGGGCCGAGGAGGTCGATGACGAGGATGTTGTGGAGGCCCTCCTGTCCAAAGTAGTAGACCTGGGGGATGCCGGGGCATCCTGCGAGGATCTTGTAGGTGCGGTACTCGTCGCGGAGCTGGGGCGCGTCCGACTTTCTGGGCTCAAACTTGATGGCGACGGTCTGGGAGTTGAGGAGGTTGGTGCCTTCAAAGATGACGCCGAAGGAGCCCTCACCGATCTTTTTGCCGACGCGGTAGTGTACGCCGACGACGTTGGAGCCGGAGCTTGCGTGGGAAGCGTGCGAAGTCATTGGAGCGAAGGAATGGTGGTAGGGCTGGGATGCGGCGGGCTGTGCCATGGACGAGCTACGAGCTGGTTTGGTCGAGAGCGAATGTGAATGCGGATACGGTGTGCTTGATGCTTTTAAGGGGGACGGCGAGCTGGGACCGATGTTGGAGTGGGCTAGGATGCGTAGGCGTGAATGTGACTGGTTGCGAGGTTGGGTGATGCTGGGACCAAGGTGGATGGGTGCGAGTGTGTGTGTGTGTGTGTGTGTGTGTGTGTGTGCGGCTAGCGCGACGACGACGGTCCAGAGCCTGTGTAGGCGCGAAGGGGAGGGGGACTATTAGGGGATGCGAAGGAGGAAGGAAGGATGGATGTGTGTGAGAGAGAGAGAGGGAGAGCGTTGCTGAAAGAGAGACGAGTGCGGGCGTAGTTGCAGTGTTGGTGCTGGCGGGCGCGTTGGCTGTTGGCTGCGTGCGTGTGGGCGCCGAGACGAGTGCGGAAAGAGCGGGCGCAACAGGAGAGGGGTTCAACGCATCTCGCCTGGGCCGAAATTGGGGATTGGAGCCGCCAGCGCTGCGAGAGGCAAATTTGGAATTTCACCCTCACCCGGCCGTCAGACCGATTCGATCAGCGCCGGAGTCACGCCCTGGCTTGTCGCGATTCACACCAACCGCCTTTGTCTCGCTCTCCAAAACAGCATCGCAAGTCGCAGTGACCCTTCTTCTGCAGTGCTGAGCAACACTCGGCGCAAAGTGTGACCATCGCCGTTAAAGAAAGTGTGATCTTGGCTCCCAAAATGAAGCTGCAAAAGCTTTCGCGGGCGGGTGGTTGCAGCCGCGAATTGAATGAGACGGCGTAGAATCTCCAATCGACTCGACTGGCTGGCGGGCGGGCTGGAAAAATGCAAAGGGATTGGTTGCATTTGGCGGTTGCTGCACCTGCATGCAGCCTCACTTGCAGGATCCTTCCTTTCTCTGCCCGACAGCCAGCTCAAACCGAAAATCCGCCCGCTTGGACTTGTGGGCTTGGATCGCCTTGCCGATTCACAGAGACGGATCGGCTCTTTGACCGCCCTCATCTTTTTCCCCCACACACGCCCAATCAATGCCCGCTCGTAATGAAGAAAATTAGTTGCTGGTCATGAGTTGCCTGGTGCTTTCACTTTTTGCTGGGCTTGACCTTCTTTGCCGGCGACTTGGCCTCGCTCTTGGTAGCGGTTGCCTGATCGTCGGCGGCGCGCTTCTTGTTCTTGACCTTGTCGCCCGCCTGAGGCTGGACCACTTTGAGCAGCTGCTTCATCAGATCATGAATCGACGTCGACGCCTTGAAGCGCTCCGAGCCCTGCAGCTTCTTCGCCGCCTCTTGGAGCTTCGTCACCTTCCAAGCCGCCTCGACCCTGCTTGCGTCCTTTTCGGCACGCAGGCTGATCCTGGCCGCCTGCAGGACGAACTTGATCGTATCCTTCATGTGGCTCGACGTAAGCGCCGCACCGGAATCCTCCACCGAGTCGGATACGATCTGGACAAAGACGCTGCTGATCTCGGGCACGAAATCCAGCACCTGGTTGTCGGCACGCTGGGCGATTTGCGTAAGCACCGCTTGAAGCATCGACATGGCCTGAACCTGGCGGAACGCGCGAGTGGCGGCTCCAGGTCGACAGTGATCCAACAACTCGCCGCGAAGCTCCCACCCGAGCAGCGGGAATCGTCGAAAGGCGTCGATGAGGAACTCGTGTCGCATCCGACTCGCCTTGCGCTCGAGGTAGTCCAACAACGATGCACGATAGATCGCCACCAATTCGCCACCCAGCGCCGTCTTGGCATCATCCCCGGCCTGCGATAGCGCCGTCTTGGTGAGGTAGGCATTGATCGCCTGACTCACGTTCGACACATCGTTCGACTGCGACTCGCGCGCCTCTGTATGCATCTTCTCCACCAGCTCCCGAAGCTGAGAGGCATCCACCGAGTCCGGAACCGTCTTGGCCTTGCTGATGCGCGTAAGCAGTAGTCCTCGCGCCTTGTTGGCCAGCTGCTCCGTATCTTCGTCCCGCGCCTTCCACAGATCGTACAGCGGCGTGATGAGGTCGAGCATCAACGAACTCTGCGGCTGCTTGCGCGCAAACACCTCCACCAGCTCCAGCACCTTGAAGCGCAGCGCGATGGCCTCCTGCTTGGCCTCCTTCTGGTCGCGCACCGCCGAGACGCGCTGCCGGAACACCTCGGCCAACTTGTCGTCCAGAAGCATCATCTCGTCATCGCCCAGATCGGAGAATTCAACGCTCGACTCGGAACCGGCATCCGACTGCGCATCCTCATCGTCTTCGTCATCGTCGTCGGCCTCGCCATCGCGCTCCGCCATGCCAGACTCCTTGAGCACAGCGCGCAGCCGCGATCGCAGCTCCTCGTCCACCTCCTCGCCCTCTTCGTCGTCGTCCGAATCCGACGCGGCATCGCTCTCGTCGTCGCTCGTCGCCGACGTATCCGACGGCTTGCCCTCCTCGTCATCGTCGTCCGCATCCATCATCTCGTCGTCGTCCTCATCCTCATCTGCCGAGGCCGGCTCGTCGGTGGTGCGCAGGTGCGACAGAAGCAGACCCATGCTCTCCTTGGTCATATCCTGCGAGAAGGCCTCAAAGGCGTTGGTGGCCGTGGTGCGCAGGAACGCCGACGAGAGCTCGAGGAAGCTGAGCAGACAGTCGCACAGCAGCTCGATGCCCGTCGGCTCCTCCTCGTCAGCCTTCTTGCCCTTGCGCGTGGTTGCGGGCGGGAAGAGCTTGTTCGCACACGCGCACAGCGGTTCCACCAGATCCGACGCACCGTCCGCAGCATCCGCCGACACGAGCAGCGCCGAGAGCAGCAGCGACTGGAACGCACGCGAGCGCTCGTGCGCCTCGGCACTGTCGCTCTTGGCATCCAGCTTGCGCACGCGCTCCAGACACCGCACGCCCTCGGCGAGCTTGGCGGCGATCTCGGCGTCGTGGTCAAACACCGAGGTGACGCTCTTGTCCGCCTCGAGCTGCACCAGGATCGTGTGCGCCTTGGCGAGCCACAGCTCACCATCCTGCGCCACACCGGGCGTCTTCTTTCCATTCACTGCGGTGGTGGGGGTGGCTTGCTTGGCGAGCTCCGAGACGCACGAGAGGAAGCGCTGGCGCGTGAGCTGCTTGAGCGAGTCTGCCAACGGCGGCGTGGGCAGTGTGTGGAGCAAGAATCGCTTCTTGATGGCCTTGGTGAGCGCAAAGTAGCCGTGCGCGGCGAGGAAGGTGAGCACGTCGAGGATGAGCGCGTCGTCCTTGGGCACACTGGGCGTGCGCACGAGGAAGAGCAACTGATCCAACGCCCACTTCCTCCGGTTCGTGATCTCTTGCAGTTCATCGTCGTCGTCGGTAGCGATGCCCTTGCACATGATATCGCCCAGATGCTGCACGTACTCGCGCACGCGCTCCACGTCGAGCGCCGCCAACACCTGCTCGACCGTCTTGGTCTTGGTGATCGAGTCGAAGTTCGGATGGCCGTTTTTGCCGATCAGCTGGGTGACCAGCACGAATCCGAGATGCGGATGCTGCTTGACCACCTCCTGGATCGTGTGGGTCGCCTTGACGGCGGCGCGGTGCAGCAGGCGTTCGCGGTTGCCGAGTTGGTTGATGAGCGTGCGCATAAAGTTGGGCGTGAAGAGCAGGGGTTTGTCGTCGTCGCGCGCGCGTGCCAGGGCACGCTCGAACACCTGGAATCCCCACGACTTGCGATCGTGCGACGACGACGCCGCAAACAGCGTCTCGTCCACCACCACGCGGTAGAAGTCCGGAAACGCCGCAAGCCGCGTCTCTGCCACCTCCTTAAAGTAGACAGCGAGGATCAGGTCCCACACAAAGTGGATCTTGGGTTGCCAGCGAGACCTTGCACCCACGGTGGCGTTGGCGTCGTTTTCGGCAGGGATGGCCTCCTTGAGCACACGCGCGAGCTGCGGCAGATTGGCGGTGGATAGTGGGTGTTCCTTGCGCATCGAGGGCAGCGCGATGTTGTGAAAGTAGTCGGCAGGAGCCGTGTGGCTGAGCTGCAACAGCACGGCGAGCTTTTCGGGGCTGAGTTCGCTTGTAGCTGTGATTTGTTCGGTCATCCAAGCGTGGGCCTCTCCCGCCCAGGCGAGATCTTTCTGCTGTTGGATCTGGGCTACGGCATTGACCATAACCCAGGCGCAGCTCTCTGCCATCCAAGGCTTATCCGCCGAGAGCGTGATGAGGATGCGCATGCACCTCTTGAAGTCGGCGATCGTGGCGGTGTGCTGAACGAGCAGCTCGGACTGGACGAGGCACATGATGCCAAAGAGCTTTGCAAACATAAAGTCCTTCTGCTCCTGCCTGCTCGCGGCCACCTGTGGATTCGAGTACCTCAGCACGAGCACGAGGATCTCGCGTGCGGTGACGGCGTAGCGGATGTTGCTGAGCAGCTCGGTGAGCACCACCGCAAATCCGAGGCGCGAGCTTTCTCTTGGGCTTGCGAGGCCGCGCAGCAGACGACGCAGGGCGTACATGAGGTCGGCGACCGTGCGGTTTCCCAACGCATCCTCTACAGCATCCGCCTCGGCCTCGTCGACTTGCAGTGCGTTTGGCGCGTCATCATCGGCGGTGGGAAGGGCGGCGTTGAGCGTGAGTTTGGACGTGGACGCAAGCACGTCCTGCTGTGCGAGGAGTTGCTGGACGAGGTGGTTGGCCGAAGCGAGTCGCGCGTCCTGATCGGACGATGCGATCTCCCAGAACAGCTGCAGGTTGTTCGCCTGCATCGTGTGGATTAGCAGCTCAGGGTATGCAGAGATGGTGGAGTCAAGCGGGAGAGCAATCTTCTCGTCGTTGGCTGGCTGTGGAAATTTTCTGCCAACGGTGCTGGGCGCAGGAGGAAACTTTTGTTTTTTTTTTTGGAAAAAAAATCAGGGTCTGAGTGGAGCGGTTAGGCATCGGCGCTGCCCATCCACCGATGTGACGAATCGGCGATATCGACGGCTTTTGTGGGGAGTGTGGCGGTCTGACAATTTGGCGAACGATAAATGCAGGTGTTTGGAGGGTCGTTTGCGCCGCGATGCCCTGCATTGCACTGCATTTGCACTGCATTTGCACTGCAACTTGGCTGCTTTGATGGGCATGCTGCTGCTGTTGTCTCTCATGCTTGTGAGGGGTGAGGGGGGGATAAACACACAATGCGGTCCAAGCGTCGGATGGAATTCATGTGGGATGAAAAGAAAGCTGCAAGGACGCGCAGGATGCGTCCGAGGTGCCTCAAACTCAGTCGTGTGCAAAGTGGGTGCAGTAGGCGGTGCATAAGCGAGCGACGCTTTGAGCGCGACTTGAGCTGTCAAACAAAACGACCTTGGATAGAAGGTTTTGGGTGCAGCGGGATCGAATTGGCGCGCAAGGAGAGATTGGAGCTGCCGGTGGATGCGGGGTTTCGCCTCAGGAGCCGCCGCTCCCACTCAAGCGCCTAGAGAGAAGAGATGGTCGCGTGTTTGTGTACAGCCCAGCCCATCCCACACCAAGCTTCAGGCACCAACTTGCCAAGGCCCCGAGGGTGTTTGTGTTGATGTCCCAGCTGAAAGGGTGACGGTATGCAACGTCGATCCGTCGATCCGTCGATCTGTCGATCCACCCTGGCGGCTACAGGATGACGATCGTATGGAAGCATGTGACGTCGACGCTAGGCTCGGATAGGAATAGGAGGCGGATGCGATCGTCCTGTTCCATCTTGCCGGTGCTGGGGAAGCCATGTTTTTGTGTGGGTGGGTGTGGGCGGACGTCATCGCGGCTAAGAGCTCTTGGTGGGGGGATTTGGGGTTGGAAAAATGCGAAATTCGTCGAAACTCGAGCTGAACGGCGCGTGTAGATCGCAGCGTCAACATTTGCCAACTTTAAGGGCGCGTGTGCATGAGCAGCCGACTCTCAGAGTAGTGTCGTCGAAAGAGTGGCTTCCCGTGTTGGCAGCCCGGCGCGTCCGACGCGACTCTTTTTTGGACGGAAAAAAAGAGGTGGAAAAAGTGTTGGTCTCAGTCTCAGCCAGGCGCTTTCTCTGCCGATTCGAATTCACATATTGAGCGCCGCCGCATGTTTGGGAGACAGCTTAGCCGCCGCCGAGTGACGGAGAGGCAGTGAAACGACGCATGTGAGGCCGCCGCCGCCGCCCAAGTCAGCTCGCAGCTCGCACGGCCTCTCTCTCTCTCGCTCTCTCTCCGACGTCACATGTGCCAAGGCGCTTTCTCTCTCTCTCACTGCTCTGCTGCCCGTCACAGTTGGCAGTATAGTCTACACTTGCCTTCCCTCTCAGTCTGTCACCTTGTCCGCTGCTCCACCTTTCTCTCTCTCTCTCTCTCTCTCTCTCTCTCTCTCTCTCTCTCTCTGATTGTCACACTCACTCCCTCTCTCTCCATTTTTCCGGCCGCAATCCGCTCCCCTTCCACAGCATCACACTGACTCGCACACTGCGGCCTCCTCCGTTCAACACCATCATCATCATCACCATCAAGACCTCTTCTCCTCATCACCTCTTTCCCATCGTCGTGCACGCATCTCCTGGCTCGTGTGTCGTGTCTCCTGCTCATACTCTCATAGACGTCCAACAGGCTCGCATCACTCGCGGATACATCATCGATACTATACCCCACTTCCAAGCAATCGGCTCCACCTCGTGCACATGCTCTCGCTATAGCTGGTTACTACCTCCACTCATCCACTTCGAATTCAGCAGCGCCCACCATGGCCGCTCTCCTCTCCTCGCCTCCGGCGCCGCAATACAGGCACGACCCCTTCGAGCAGCCCAGCTCGCCAAAGTGCTACTCGCTCCACGATGACCTCCCCGCCGACTTTGACAAGTCCTTTGGCTCCTCCATGTCCATCTCCGACTCGCTCGACGGACACTCCTCACAACCCCTCGCAGCAGCAGCAGCAGCAGCCGCCATGCCTCCAACACCCTTCCTCTTTGGCAACTCTCTCGGCCTCCCAACCGCCTTTCACGCAAAGTCCCATCAGCCCCAATTCCTCGCACAACTCCACCACCAGCCCACCTCCCACATCTCCCCGCGCCCCGCCAACTCCCTCGGCGCTGCCATGGGCACCTCCCTCAACGCCCGCTCCCCCAACCTCGCCGCAAAAATGAGCTCCCCCAAGGACATGGACATCTCCCCCGCCCCCGTCGCTCCCCTCGCCCACGTCGGCCCTTCCCCATCCGAAGCACTGCCCCACCTCTTGGACAACATCCACGTCGGAAGGCCATCCACCGCAGCTGCCGCCAATCTCCACCACGACCGTCTCCACCCCGTCCTCGGCGGCTCCACTCGTCCGCGCCCCCTCGCGGCAGAGCGCAAGTCATCGCTCCAGCTCGCCCACTCCATGTCCTCCCGTCTCTTTGGCGCAGAGATCGCCCTCAACTCCAACCGCATCTTTGCCAGAGACCACCAACTCCTCAGCAGCCCAGACAAGGAGCCTCCGCCCAAGCGCAGGCCCAACTCGCTCCCCACAAGGCAATCCGAAGCAAACGAGCGCATCTCCCAGCTCTCCGCAGCGCTCACCGCCATCGCACCGCCCAGAACCAGGCCGGCACTCTCCGCCACCTTCGACGGTGCCTTTGGCGTCGCCTCCTCCTCACAGCCCACCTCCAGCTTTGCCCTCCGCAGCTGCTCCCCGGATGCCGTCGCTTCTCTTAACAAGCGCAACAGCAAGCGCTCCTCGCGCGCAAGCTCCGCCGAGTCCTTCTTCGAAGATGTAGAGAATGAGCTCGGCGCACAGTCCACGGCGGGCGAGACTCAGACGACTGACGCCCACTGGCAGCACCGCGCATTGCTCGACCACGACCACGACGACGCCGCCGACGAAGACGATGCCAACCCCTCGCCCTCCCCATCCATGACCTCCATAGCCGGCAACATGGCCGGCACCATGGCCGGCTACTTCTTCGACCCCATGTCGCCCGAGAAGCTTGGAAGCAGGCTCGGCATGCCTCCCGTCGATGGGCCTAACCTGCTCGCCGCCATGTCCAGCACGGCCAACTCGCCGAGCGTCTCGTCTCCTCCCGCCTCGTCCCCGTGCACCAGGATGCCGCCACCCAAGAGGACCACCTCGCTCGGCACTCGCGCCTTTGCACGCGCAAAAACCATGGCTGCCGTCCCCAGAGTCGCCAGCGCTTCCTCCTCGGCATCCGGCTCCGGCTACGGCTCCGCCTCCACCTCCACCGCAGCCGCCGGTGCTGCTTCGCGCACCATGCTCGGCAAGCGCGCCAATCCGTACGTCAAGCGTCCCTCGCTGACCAACGCCACGGCTACCGTCAAGAGTGCCTACCCCGTGCTCGGCGTCGCCGGACAGACCAACCGCGTCGTGCGACCCACGGCTCCCGCGCCGCGTCGCTGCTTCTCGGCATTTGACCACCGTTCTGCGCTCGCGGCCGGCGCGCCGCCCTCCAAGCTGGCTGCCCCTGCCATCGACTCGCCTGCCTCGCCCGATCGACGCCGCACCCAGCTCTCCAGCCACGCCGAAATGTCCGACGCCAACGGCTCGCCCATCGCCCCCGCCATGCGCGCACGCACACGCCCCAACTTCCTGCGCCGCGGCAGCAAGGACGACAGCTCGCCGCTCGCCTACGGCACGGGCATCAAGCGCAGCGGCTCGCGCGGCAACGACATGGTCGACGACCTCGCGCTCGCCGACCCGGCCTACACAAGCTCGCCCGCCAGCGCAGAGAGCCTGCCCGGCTTTGGCGCGTCCGAGAAGGAGGGCAAAGTGCTGCCCTGCTTCAACGTCAAGGAGGACGGTCTCATGCGCATCACGCCGCAGACCATGACCGACCTGCTGGCGGGCAAGTACACCAACGCGATCCAGAGCTTCCAGGTGGTCGACTGCCGCTTCGGCTACGAGTACGAGGGCGGCCACATCCCCGGTGCCATCAACCTCAGCACCGTCGACCGCGTCGTTGGCCACTTTCTGACACCGGGCCAAGGCAGGCATGCGGGTGGCATCCAGCTTCCGCCGCGTTCGCAGAGTGGGCGGGCGGACAGCTACGGCAACCGCCGGAAACACGTGATTGTATTCCACTGCGAGTTTAGCTGCAAGCGTGCGCCGTCGATGGCGCTTGCGCTGCGTCAAGCGGACCGCGGTTTGGCACACGACTATCCCAACTGCCATTTCCCCGAGATCTACATCTTGCAGGGGGGATACTGTGGCTTCTTCCGCGAGTATGCGCAGCTGTGTGAGCCGCAGCAGTACATCTGTATGGATGATCCGCGCTTCGTCGCGCGTCGCTCTAGCGAGCTGAATGGATTTCGCAAGCAGTTCTCACGCCATCGCAGCTTTACCTATGGCGAGGGCAGGAGGCAGATCAGTCAGTCGTATCAGGGACGTCAGACGATCAAGGAGGAGGATGCTTCGTTGATGGACGAATCGCCGTGTTCGGGGGTGGCCAAGATGATGCCGAGGGAGGCGTCGTCTTCGTCCGTAGTGGTTAGGGAGGCAAACGAGCAAGCGGGTGATGCTAGTTTTGGCAGTGTGGGAGACTCGAGCTTCGAGGATGGTATTGGCGATAGCCCCTGTGCGGCGGCAGGGTCGAGGAAGCCTGTCACCATGCTCCTCCAGCCCAGAGTGGGTTCGCTTGGCAGACGACCGCTCCTGCGCGCCGGCACCACGGGCAACATCCTGCCGCGTTTCTAGCACACCCCCCTCTTTCCAAGATATCTTGCATTCATCATCATTTCGCATTCGTATTCTTCTAGTTTTCCTCGACCGCATTGCTACCATTTTCTTTGTTGCGTTTTTCAATCTTGCATCTTTTCTACCACCATGCACCGGGATCTTTTGCTTCTATGGTTTCTTGTCTGTGCGTTGTGTGATGTCGGAGTTTGCCTTGTCCACGTAAGGGAGTCAACGAGCTGTGCCTTCTCTTTCGCGGGAGCTGCATGCTCACTTGACGGTCACACACGACTTGCTGCATCAGTTCGGTTGGAATTGGTGGCCAACTTATACCGCATCGCTTCTTTCATCGGCCGTTCGATCTTGCATTTCTACCATGCACCAAGGTCTTTGCTTCTACGTTACTTTGGCTGCGGTGGTGTGGGTATAATAAAGTGTGTGTTGAGCTTGCTTGGTCCACACGAATTTGTCGATGCGGCGCAAGCATGCGTCTGAGGCGGCTGTCACCGCCATGTCCCTTCTCTCTTTCAAGGAGCTGGTCGCGAGCGCCGATGCCTTGCAATCCGGGGGCACAATCCAAAGCGATCACTAATTCAGTGTGTCTTTCCGTCTGCCGTTTGCCGAACGAGCTCAGCAACGCACTGATATTGGAACCTCCCTCTTGGAGCCTGCCGGCCAGTTAGCAGGTCCAGAGCTGAGACCCCAGCAACGGCTGTATCAGCCTTGGCAGCCACGACAGCAAACGTCGATCCTCGGGTGAGAAATGGCGTGTGAGCGCCTCGGTTTGCAGCTCAGCATCGAGATCGGATCAAAGCAGGTCCACACGCTCAAGCCGACGCCAACATGGTCGCCCTTGCCAGCCATGCAGGTCCAAATCGACCAAGACAAGGCAGCTCCAAATCCAACATGATGGGAACGCGCGGCTTCCTCTCTCGTCCAACCGAATGGAATCGGTGCGCCACAGCAGCAAGGCAAGACAAGACGAGTGCACATCGCAGATAAATAGCAGCATATGCTCGAGCTTACAATCGACGCCGTACTCCCATTTAAGCCACGATGGACGGCATTGCAAATGCGGGTTGGTCGACATGCCACAAGTTTTGCTCGGACCCAAATTACCGTCTCTTCGTCCTCCTGGGCCGACGGGGGTTTGTGGTTGTCGGGGGTCCGGATGTGCCTGTTCTCGAAGGCCCAGGGGGTGGTGGATTTTTACGAGTTGACCGATGTGACCGAAGCAGGCTGGATGCGGAGCGGTGGAAGTTGTGCAAAATTCGAGCTCCGAGAGATGGAGCGAAAGCGTGCATGCGCCACCGCCGTGTGGCTGTCCAAGTCTGCATCTGCGCATCATGGTGTTGGCCTTGCATGGATGCATTGAGAAGCGCATCCCACGTGTTTGCCGCATCCAAGCGAGCCGGCGGCGGCGGATTCGGCCATATAAGTATCCCCCATCCCCCCACGGCACCCTCTAGCTTTGCGACAACCCCACAATGTCCGAAAAATCCAGCCTACAAGAGTGCCAACCCATGCTTGCCCCGCCTCAGCCTCGTCGAAGACAAAGATGGCTGCTGGTGACGGCGGTGGTAGCGGCGGTGGTGGTGTTCAGCGCCATCTTCTTTCCTGTGTACTTTACACGTTCCCATCAGCGCAGCGGGGATGAAGGGGTCTCCGCCACCAATGACCGGTCCATCACGACTCCGGGGGCCGTGTGGCAGCAGAAGACGCAGTTCCGCGACCTGGATGATTTCAGAATCAGCTACTACTCGAGCGGCCAGAACAACTCCAAGGTGCTCTCGAGTCTGCCGGCTAGCGCGTACAAACAACAACAAGTGCGCATCGAGATGAAGAGGCCCAATAAAGCCTTGCGACGACAAGACCTCACCTCCTCCTCCTCCTCCTCCTCCTCCACCACCACCACTACACGCACTGCAACACGAACTTCAACAACGTCCACACGCTCCACACCCTCCTCCACTTCGACCACTTCGACAGCGACACCTCGGGCAACATCCGGCAGCGTACTGTCGATCTTCTACCCGCGCAACTCGTACACGCCCTCGGAGCTTCCCGTTGGCGGCACGCAGTTCTACGCCCAAACGCCCTTCGACCTGTCGCGCGCCACATCGGTGACGCTCAACTACTCGGTCTTCTTCCCTGCGTCGTACGACTTTGTGCAGGGCGGTAAGCTTCCCGGCCTGTACGGCGGCGACGAAGGCTGTGGCGGAGGCAACACCGCCCAGTCCTGCTGGAGCACTCGTATGGCGTGGCGAACCAACGGAACAGGAGAGCTCTACGCCTACCTCCCCCAGGACAAGCAGAACATCACCGCGCTGCTCGAAGTGCCCCCCTACAGCTACGTCAATCCCGACTATGGAATGTAAGTCCCCCAACCCCGACGCCAGCGATGAAGGATCATAAGCTGATGCACTGTACGAGGTTGTAGTTCACTGGGCAGGGGCGCGTTGGAGTATGCTCGAGGTGGATGGACGAATATCTCGCAGACCATCACGCTCTCGACCAACAACACGCATCCCAACGGCATCTTTGACATTGCAGTCAACGGTAACAGAGCCATCTACTTTGATCAGGTCTACTTCCCCGCCCGCATCAAAGGCATCCTCTTCTCCACGTAAGTCCCCCCTCTCTCTCGTTCCCAGCTCTTGGCGAGTTTTGCTGACCTGGATGGATGGGGTGTAGCTTCTTTGGCGGTGCGACACGCGACTGGGCCACCCCGCGCGACCAGTACTCGTACTTCCGCGCCTTCTCGATCCGCATCAACGCCATCTAAGATTGCTGGGTGATTTGTTTGAACATGATGTCGAAATCCACGTTGCCGCTTCGTTCGGCATCCTGGCTCGGACTGACGGGGTCCACCCTGTACCCTTGTTGCCTGTAGAACTCGCAGGCCGGCTTGTTGTGGTCGAACACGGTGAGCATGACCTTCCTCATCCGGGCCGCCTTTCCCAGCGTATATACGATGTCCATCAACTCTTTGCCGAGTCCATCGCGCTGGTTGGCTTTGCGAATCTGGATCTCGTACAGATAGATCACCTCCACCTTGTCCTCTCCCGGGCGCCGCGTCGGGTCGCCCTCAACCGACCGCTCCGTGTCGAAGCGGAACATGGCGAAGCCCGCGATCTCGGCGCCTTCCTCCGCGGGGGGCCGGATGATGGCAAAGCGCGACTCGGCATCGAACAGCTCCTTCTTCTTCTCGGACGGTTTCCACCCCAAGGTGCTGTTGCGATACATCGCCTTCATGTTGGCCTCGAACAGGGAGAAGACGCGCTTGCGCTGCTCGGACGATAGCTCCGACGCATGCTGCAGCTCCAGCGAGTAGCCGGACGCTTTGAGGCGCGCGGAAAGCGGGTTCTTGGCGCGCGTGTTGCGTGCCTTTTGAACCATCTTGAACAGTTCGCTTGACGATGCGACGCGAGCCGCAGACAGCGCAGCTGCATAGTCCACCTCGTCTTCCGCTTTGACCGACGCCGACTCCTCCTTAACCTCGCTCGTCCCCGATTCCGACTCTGTCTTCACTTTTGACCCCGAGTGGGGCTCCGTCTTGAGTGCGGCATCTTTGAGCGCCTTACCCTTGCGACCCAGCAGACCTGCCGCCTTGAGCGGACACGGCCTGTCGACGATCTGTGCCTCTCCCTCCTCGTCCTCGACCTCCTCCTTGACCGTCGCAAAGCCCTTGGCGGAGCAGTTGGCGCACCGCTTGCCGTGCTGGATGAGCAGCACATGCAGCGGATACTTGAGATGGCCCGGCACACGCTCGTGCAGATGATAGTACGTCTGGTCTCGATTCGCCTTCTCGGGCACCCAGCCCAGACTCTTGCACAGCCGAAACACGTGCGTGTCGACGGCCATACTCTGGCGTCCGATGCAGAACGCCAGGACGCAGCTGGCGACCTTGGGTCCGACGCCGTTGAACGACACGAGCTCCTGCATGATCTCGTCGTCCGTAGCGGTGTGCAGATGGTCTAGCGAGAGCTTGCCGTGTTTCTCCATGGTCTGCGACAAAATGCCCTTGATGGTGCGCGCCTTGTTGTTCGCCAGCCCACCGCAGCGGATGGCTTCCACCAGCTCCGACTCGGGCGCGGCGTGGATGGCTTCCCAGTTCCGGCGACCAAAGTGGTCCGTGAGAGAACGGTGCGCGGCAGCCGAGTTGCGGTTCGACGTGTTGCAGCTCAGCACGGTGCGGATCGTAGCATCGAGCACCGAGGGGACATCGCCACACCCGCCGTACTTGTCGTCGCCCTGCGGCGGGGTGTATCGCGGTAAGCCCCTGCCACCCTCCGACTCGCGCTTGTAGCCATGGAACTCGCCGAGGATCCAAGCTACCTGTTCTGCTTCGGCCGCGGTGGGCAGTGGATGGTCCGGAAACGGCGACCCAGTGATGGATGCCTTGTACGAAGCCAGCTTGCGCTCCGACGTGCTGGCCTTCTTGGGCGAGCCCTGCGCCGATCCTGTATCTTCCTGCTTGATGGTTGCGGTGAGAAGGTCCTCGATCTCGGACGGGTCGACTTTGACCGCCTCGCGTTTTCGCTTGGGCGTGCTCGGCGGCGGCAAACCGTCCATGTCCGATTCGCGCTTGATGGGTGTGGTCGAGCTCGATCGCGCCGCCACCTGGCGTGACGACCTGCGCGTACCCGCCATACTCGTTCTGGTCCAAGCCGACGCGAGGCTAGTCGAGTAGCTGCGGGTGGGGAGGGCGGCCACACGCGGCAAGGCAGCCGCAATACTGCGCACGGCGTGTAAAGACCGAATCGTGGCGCGACTCAGCGGTGCGATCCTGAGTTTCTTCTGTCAAGCTGATGCTACACCGACGGCTGTATCTTTTCGTGAGTAGCTGGTGCGAAGATGAAGCAGCGATGGTGGTGGGATTGAGAACGTCAAGAACATGGCTTCCCCGCAACCGAGTGCTTAGCAAGAAGATGACGTCGAACGACCTCGCGCACCGCTCCACGGCACTTCGCCAGTCTTCTCAAGCGCTGCCAAAGTGGAGGTCCAATTTTATTCTGTACGACGCTCACGCCCTAACAAACAAAGGCCCGCGCTCAAAAAGTAGTCCTCTGTCCTCACACCAACTGCCTCAGCACACCAACGACTTAGCGCCAAGATCATGAGCTATGCTGACATGCAGTGCGGTAGCGGCTACTGATACAGAATGCGCACAAGGCCGAGGTCTCCCGCCTCGATGAGCTCCCTATCGATGCCGGTGCTCGCCCAATTAGCCACGCCGCTCTCGTCGGGATCGACGCCCCATGCCGAGCCCATGCCGAACCCGCTCGAGTCGCCCTGCGTGCCCGTCCTATTCGACTGGTGACCCGAGCTCGCCACCCCACTCAGATTCGAGCGCCCGGCGTTGACCACGCCGCTGAAACCAGACATCCTGGGTTTGCTCCATCCCGAACTCGCGCCGGCGCCGGCGAACATGGATCCGGCCGCACCGGGCCACCTCCTCCAGTCGCTGCGCTGGGTGGAGGCCATGTCATCGTCGTCCGTGTCGCCGTCGGACATGCGCTCGTGCGCGTGGCGCGCCACGCCGATCTGCACCAGCATCTTCTCGAGCTCGGGCCAGCTGATCGAAAACGCGGTGCACAGCTCGTCGTCGCTGTGCAGGCCATCGAGCATATCGATCAGCTCGGGCGGGATCACCACCGCCGTCTGGGGGTGCGGGTGCGTACCACTCGCTCCTGCAATCCCAGATGCTCCAGCCGAGATCACGCCGCTACCACCTGCACCACTGCCGCCAGGGATGGCTGTGCTCAGCCCAATCGCACTCGCGCGCTTGCGGGGTGAGCGTGGATTGCCCGATCCAGCCGCGACGGATGCCCGGTCGTTGTCGTGCGTCTGGAACGCCACCGCCGCCACATCCATCGCCGTCGTCGTCGGATGGCGATAGTTGGCTCGACGCACACGGGTGAGCCGCTTGGTCGGTGACGTGCCAAAGTTGCTCCCGCCCGCACTGAGGTGCACCGAGTCGCCCAGGTTGGACGCACTCGGCGTGCTCCCACCGCCCGTGCCTCCGCCGAGCACAATGTTGCTCAGCCGCGCTTCGGAGCCGACACGCCGCGCAGGCTGACGCGCGGTCACACCGGGGCTGTCCACGCTGCCATCGCGCCCGATGCGCTGCGAGCCGTATGCGCCACTCATGCCGGACAGCTCGCGCGGGCGGCGGTCTCGCGGCTCGCGGCTGCCACTCTGATCGCGTCGGCCCGGCGTGTCGGCACGGATGCCCGAGTCGCCCGGCTTGGCCATGGGCGAGTGGACCACGGGCGAGTTGCGTACCGTCGACACCACCGACGTGTCGTAGCGCCCGCCGTCGGCGCTCCAGCGCGTGCCGAGGTAGATCGGATACCGATGCACGCGGCGCAAAAAGCCCTGGATCACGCCGAACGAGACGAAGCGGCGAACGTCGATGCCCTTGTCGTCAAGATCGTTGTCCTCGATCCAGTCGTGCAGCGTCTTGCCTGCACGGAGCAGCGAGTAGAGCCTGAGCAGCTCGGGATACGACGGCATTGGATAGCCCGGCCTTGTAACATAGGTGGCGCACTCGCGACCCAGCGCCTCGTCGTCAGCCATCTTGGCGATGGCGGGCCGCACGGTGTACATGTTGAAGTACTGGAAGATGTCGACGACGACGATGCAGCCGTAGTGCACGAGATGCTCGAGGCATGCGCGCGTGAGGCCGAGATCGGCATCTGCAAGCTGCGCGATGCGCTTGACGTGGTGCACGCCATCGATGAACGGCAGGATGCGGCGCAGCGTGAGATCCCAGTTGCCATCGACGCGCGACTGTAAGTCGAGCAGCGCCACGGGCACGTCCCAGTCGTTCACCGCGGGTGGGTTCGGGTATACGGGGAACAGCTTGAGGTTGATCGCATCGCGCACCGTGCGGCCGAGTCCGTGCGGCGGCTCGCGCCTCTCGACGAGCGCCGTGCGCTTCGACGTGTCGGCCGTCTCGGAGCGCAGCGCATTCACCGAGTTGGACAGCGCCGCATCGATGGTCCTGAGCGACACGATGCTTTCCGTCAGATGCTCGAGCGAGTTGGACTCGGGATCGGCAGCTCCGGCGCCAGCTGTGCTGCCGCGGCTGGAGCGGCGCGTGCCAGCAGCCGTGTTGACGCTGTCGTACGTGGCGCTGTCGCGGTTGGTGAGCACGTTGCCCAGGCTCTCGGCCGCACTGAGCTCGCGGCTGAGCTCGCTCTGTCGCTTTGTGCTCACGATGCCCATCGCGTTGTCGCGGCTTTCCTCCGAGGGGAATGCTCCCTGACCGGGTTCGTCGGTGAGCGCCATGATGGTCGACGACCTGGCCAGACTCGGTCTGCGGCCTTCGATGGTGGTGGGTGAGATTGCGGATGCAGGAGAGTGAGGACCGTCGGATCCGATACCGCTGGCGCCCGAAGCGCTATTGCTTCGCAGCATGGGGAGTGCATCGTTGCGAATGGTAGTAAGCGGACTGAGAACGCGACCGCTGTCGGAATGGGAAGATCCCGACGCCGAAGTTGAGCGAGAGCGCGCCCCAGCTCCTCCTCCGTTGGCGCTCTGGTGCTGCTGGTTGTGCATGTTGCTGCGTGCGGTCGGCGAGGCTCTGGACGGGCTCGACATCTGAATCTGCTGCATCTGCTTCTGCTTGAGCCGCTCGTTGATGAGGTTGCGATGGTGCTCGCCGCGCAGCGAGGCGAAGCTGGCACCGAGCGAGATAAAGTCGTCGGGCCCCAATATGGGTGAGACGAGGTTGTGGGTCTCGGGGCTGTTGGGTTTGGAGTTGGACTTGAGATACGACGTGTAAGGCGCTTCGGGCAGCGCGACGAAGCTCTCGCAGTACGAGCTGAGATCTTCGAAGAGCTGTTCGATGATGGCGTACATGCGCGGCAGGCTCTTTGGGCTCGAGAGGAACGACTGCGTCTCCTCGAGGCCGCGGAGCACACGTCCGCACTTGCGAACCACGGGCTCGTACGCGCGCACATCTGCCTGTCCCTCAAACACAAAGCAGAGGTTGAAGATGAAGTTGTTGCGCTGGTACTTTGCCGCGTCTTCGATGAGAGTCGGAAACCCGAGGATCTTGTAAGACCGGAGCTCCCTTTGAGGCTTGGCGCTGGCGTCCGCACGAGACGCTTCCCTTGGGCGCACCGAAGATGCGCGCGACGAGCCGCCGGACCGTACGGATCCCGACCTTGGCTTTGCTGCCACGGACGCAGCGCGTGAGGGGGGCGGTTCGTCATCGCGCCGCGCCACGACTGTGCCTCGTGCTATGGAAGTGACGAGCCTGCCGCACAGGGGCGCTTTTGGGATGAGGTATTCGGAGAGGGCGGAAAAGTCGAACAGCGGCTCTCCGCCAAGCACGCCGGCATTGACGTTTGTGTGGGCATTTGTGGATCCTGTTTTGGCGTTGGCACCATCGTGCTGGTCGCCCGACTTGGACGGAGCGTGTTCTTCGGTGATAGCGCCCTCGGGAACTTGGTAAACGACCTTGGGGCCTTCGGTGGGATGGAAGACGGCGTAAAAGACGGCGAGCAGGCGCGGAAGGAACTGCTCGTCGAGAGCCGGTATGGACATGTTGGCGGCGCGGCTTGCGATGCAGAGCAGGCCACTTGGATTAGATAAGCGATGGGTGGGGCTGGTGGAAGCGCAGCATATCTGCTTGCTTGCGAGGTTCAGCGTGTCGTTGTGATCATTGTAGTAGGGCTGCGAATGGTGGTGTGTCGGGATGCAGTGGATTGGGAAGAGGTCGAGATAGCGCTACGCTGAGCACAGACGGGTGGAGGCCGACCGAGCGGCAATCGGGCTTGGATCCCCTCCCGATGTGTAGATTGCAATGCCAAGCCAAGCCGTCTCTGAGAATGAATTCGGCGCGTTGGCGGTGGGGGGAAAAGCTCGGACCAGCCGAAGTGCCAAAGTGCACTTAAAGCTGTGAGGACCCTTTCGAAGGAGCCTCTTTGCCTCGCCATCACCACGCCGACGCCATCATCACTCACGTTCCCCAACAAAGCGTCGGAGACTGAGCCAGAATCGCAACTCGGTCAAACGGAGCTCGGAGCCGGCCACCCACTCGAGACGTCTCGACGATGCTGATGCGCCAATGATCCTTGCCAAGCCCGAACCTTGCTTCTGCCGCTCATAGATCCCGAGTCTGCCACTTAGGCCGGCACCTATTCGCTGCACCATGCCGTCGCTACACGCACTGCGTCTGGCTGCGAGTCTGGTCGTCGTGCTTTGTGCGCTCGTCCCTCTGTGTTGGGGGCATGCGGTGCGCAGCCAGACGCGCGACTACGGCCGCTTCTCGCCCTCGTCCGTCAAGGCAACCGCTGCGCTATCGGATCCTTCCAAACTGCTCGATGCGCGCAATCCCCAATCGCTGCTATCTCGCATCCTCATCCCGCGCCCCGCCGACACGGACAACAGCCGCAAGGTGCGCGAGGCGATTTTGGACGTCTTCCGGCACGACCTCAGCTCGAGCGCCTCTACCACCATGGACTGGGGGAAGTCAGGAAAGCTCGGCTGGCACGTTGAGCAGCATTCCTTCGTCACGGACACGCCCGAGGGCCGGAAGAACATGACGAATCTGATCGTGACCAAGAACCCGGCGGCGCCACGCAAGCTGGTGGTGGCGGCGCACTATGACTCCAAGTACTTTTCGGCGGCGTCGGGGATGGCCGAGTTTGTGGGGGCGACGGATAGCGCTGCGCCGTGTGCGATGATGGTCGACCTGGCGGTGGCGTTGGATGATGCGCTCGACGCACGAGAGCGCAAGCTGCACGCTCAGGAGCAGGAAATGCAGAGTGTGGCGCAGGAGACAACTTTGCAGCTCGTGTTTTTCGACGGCGAAGAGGCGTATCGCACCTGGACGCACACCGACTCGATCTACGGCTCGCGCGCGCTTGCTCAGCATTGGACGTCCACCTTTTGGGACGCCACCCGATTCGACGCGACTCGAGGCGCAGCCAACGCGTTGGGGAAACGAAGGGCGCGTAGTGCGTATGGGCCGATCGAGCATATCAACACGATCGAGCACATGGTGTTGCTCGACCTGCTCGGCGCCGCCGATCCTTCGGTACCTTCGTATTTCGACAGCACGCAGTGGATGCACGGCGCCATGGCCGATGCCGAAACACGCCTTCGGGACGCCGGCGTACTTTGGCCCGCAGGCCACTCGGGTGCACGCTCGTTCTTCTCGCACCACAAGCCATGGGGCGGGATCGAAGACGACCATCTCCCATTCCTGCATGCTGGCGTACCGATTCTGCACATCATCCCCTCGCCGTTTCCGTCGGTGTGGCACAAGATGGCAGACGATGCGCGTGCGCTCGACTATGCCACCATGCATGCGTGGTGCATGATCCTCCGCCTCGCAGTCGCCGAGTACCTCGACCTCGACATATCCCCCCCGGGCAAGCGTAAGCGTGAGTACAAGGCCGAGCTTGTAAGTCCCCCACCACACCCGCCTCCCGCACACACCACTGACACTCCCATGCTTCTGACTCCGCACGCAGTAACATAGGCAATCTCGAAATCTCCCACGTAGACCACTTGTTTTTTGATTGTTTGGCACTGTGTGTGTTGTTGCGGGGGGGTAGGATTTACTGGCTTGCGGAGGAGTCTCTGGAATCGACGGCCGACTTGCCTAGCCCAAGCAGCAATTCTGCAGCCTGGTGATCGTTGGGATCGTCTCGCTTTGGCGGCGAGTGGCAGTCGAAGAATCCGCTGTCGTCGTGCGAAAACGCCTGCGCGGGAGCGGGGGTAAAATTCGTACGGTCGCCCAGCACACGCGAGGGGGTATGCAGATCCCACCTCCTTGCAAACGGCGTACTCACCGCACGCACGTACTGCGGTGTAGCTGTCAACCCCACCGGCCGCGTCGGATACGCCAAGGAGCGCGACAACATTGGCGAAACCATACTGCCAAAGGCAGGTGCTTCTTCGACACGACGACGTTTAGCCGACTCCATGGGCGCGGTGGGGGCAGTGTTTTCGTCGACACAAGCGGGTTTCTTGCGTGCGGCAGCGCCAGTTTTGCGTTTGGCATCTTGCAGACGCCGCGTGAGGTCGGTGGCAGACAACGAGCGGGCGGTGGGACGTTTGCGTTTGTCCGCCGCAGTTTCGGGTGCCGACCCACCGGCGCGCGTTGAAAGCGGGGTGGACGCGGTGGGCAAGCGCATGCTGACGCTCCGAGAGAGTGGTGTGCCTCCGATACTCACGGGTAGCGCCGAGGTGGAGGCACGATCGCGGCCCGCAGCCCAATCGAGACTCACCGCCCGTGCGGGCGCCAACCCAACCACCTTCTTCCCCACCGCCGCATCGGCACCTACACTTGCCATCGCCTCTCGCGCATCTGCCCGCTGTTCCTGCCCCTTGGCCGCCCTACGCTGGGCAATGAGCTTGAGCGTCCGCTCTTCGTCCTCTTCCTCGCGCGCATCGTTTCCCACATCCGCCTCGCTACTCGACACACTGCTGCTCGGCATCATCCCCAACAACCCACTCCGCTCCACATGGCTCTGTGCCCGATCGACGCCCGCAATGATACCCTGCCTCTGCAGCACCGCCGTGAGCTGGGGTGGCAAGCTCGATGTCAATGATTCGCTCTGCGACGCCGGAGGGGACGCGGCCGCGGGGATGGCGGTGATGTTGCCGATGCTCGCGCGTCCACCCGAGGTGGTGAGCAGGCTCAGGCTGGATGCGCTCGACGCGCGCGAGAGCAACTTGGGCGGTGGCAGGATCGTATCCAACCCGTCCTCGGCCGTCAGCGCTGCGAGCGGCGCGCGCTCCGTAGCGGCCCGTCGCAGCGTCTGGCTGCGTCCACTCAGCACATCGTCCAACGACAGACGTGGAGTGGAGCGGTGGCGCGACATGGTCTTGGGCGCAGGCGCGTCCACCTCGACGTGCGCGATGCCCATGCCCTGCGGCCCAACATCCTGTCGCAAATCCCGCGGCGTAGACGCAGCCTTCGACGCGGTGTGGGTGTCTTTGGGTTTGGCGGGGGTCTGACGCTTGAGTGGCTCGAGGAGTGGGGGCCGGGAGCTGGTGGCGCGCGCGACGAGCCAGGGCGGGATGTTCTCCTTGTTGTCGCTGCTCATGTCGCTGATCTCGACCGGCTCAGAGCGCTTGATCGCCGCAGCTGCGTTCTCGCTCGCATTCCCCAGAGGCTTGCGCTGGGCAACCACGGTGGCGGATGGTTTGGCGGGAGTCGACTCGAGGGCTGGCGTCGACTGCCCTGTGCCCGGCGTTGCACCTGGCGCGATGCCCGATCCACCATATCGGCCCGAGCGTTTCTTCTCGGCCTGTCGTCTGTTCTGGAACCACACCGACACAGCCCTGTGTTTCGAGATGAAGAATCATGCGTGTCAGTACAGCGTAAAGATGTGAGTGGGTGAGGTTGGGGGGTGGGACTTACCTGACGGACATGCCTACGCGGTTGGCGAGGAAGAGGCGCGTCTCGTGGTCCGGAAACGCGTTGGTTGCGTATACCTGTGCGAGCAGGTTGGCCTCGTCTGGACGCGTGCGTCTCCTCCTGCGGATCTCGTTCTTTGCATCCTCGCCGACGACGCTGGCGGTGCTCTCGAACGAGTCGTCGATGAGCGAGGCGGGGGCGCGCATGCGCGCGTCGCGATACGCCGGATCGCGTTCGTCGTCCTCCTGGTTCTTCTGGGCGAGGTTCGAGACGGACAGACGGTTGACGTCGATGGCGGGGGTGGGCGAGGCTGGCAACGCGCTTCGGTCTGCGGCGCGGTGTGCGGCGCTTATGGCGAGCGCGATGCGTTGCTGCGCGCCTGGTTTGAGGTGCGCGTGCTGGGAGAGATGGTGCTGCGGCGTCTGGGAGGTGTTGTGCAGATGCTCGATGGACATGACTCCCGCGGACGGGTGGGTTGGGTCGGAGTCGGCCCAGTGACGATGGCGAAAGGCGTCTCTGGAGACGACGGGGGTGCTGACGAGGTGGCGGGGGTGGAGTCGAGGGCTGCCCGTGTGCGATGCGGGATCGCTGTGGTCGCGAACGTCTTCGGCGCGTGGCGAGCTGGAGCGCTGTTGAAAGAGCGGCGCGTCCTTGTTGATGTACGACGAGAAGCTCTCTACGGAAGCGGCGGTGGGACTGCTTCGCGACTGGAGCTGCTGCGAGAGCGACTCGACTTGGCCGTCGCGAGCATCACGACCATCACGACCGTCACGCCCATCGGAGGCGGACGAGCCGCGATGGCGCTGCGAGCGATCGTCCAGGTCGAGGCGCGAGTCGTGCTGGAGGAGCAACGCCGAGGATGCAGGCATGGCGTCGACGCGCGCACGCGCACGAGCAGACACGTCCATCGCGCACCAGTGACGAGCAGAGCAGGGCTGGATGAGGACGTAGGAGCAAGAGACGCAAAGGCGCGAAAGGCGACGTGGACGAGTGGAGTAGGAGCAAAGGACAGAGAGAGAGAGAGAGAGAGAGAGCGCGCGGTTCAGCTTGACGGTCGAGCGTGTGGTAGTGCAGGGTCGCACACACACTAGCTGACCCACGGCTGTGGTGACGGCGGTCGACGTGCCGTGTTCTCTCAGCTGTGCTCTCAGCTGTGCTCTCAGCTGTGCTCTCAGCTGTGCTCTCACTGCGCTGTGCTGTGCTGTGCGATTATTGAGGCGCCTCCTGGCATTATTCGCCAAAGTGGCAGTGGAAACGCGATTGATTTCGCGCTGCAGAGCGCACTTTTGGCCTTTCCTTTTCGCTCGGCCGTCGGCGTGTTGGACTCTCTTTGCCCTCTGAGTGAGAAAGGCCGGAGCAGCCACCACGCGCAACGCAGCGCGCCCGCGCTTGGCTCCCAAGTCCATCAGAAGCTGCAAGCCCAGCCCAGCAAAGACGCTGCTGCGCTCTTTCACATCTGCAAAGCCCACAAGGTTGTCACGCTCGTCATTCCCCTTCGCCAGCAGCCAAGCACGTGGAAGGGCAGCTCCCTTTGACCTCCATACCTACACGATCAGCGCTCAAGCAGCTCTCTAACGAGCAACTGCATGGCTTGTGCCTTGAGAGCAGCTTCCAAGACGCTGACAAAAAAAGACGGCCCTCGCGAAATCGAGCCACGACGCCCTCCTTTTTCTTCCGCAGTTGCGTCGCGCTTTCGCGCTGCTCCCGAGCGCGACCTTTTTTTTTCCTTTTTTTTGGTAATACGCCCGCCCATCGCGGTGCACGATCTTCTGGCCTTGCATCGAAAGGTTTGGAGGTGCATGACCACGGTACATCGCCATGCCGAGCGGGCCGACCAGCTGCGTCGCCCAAAGCGCCCACGGCATCGCCGAGCCTCCTTGCCTCTGTGCCCGTCGCGACGCGGCCCTAGCCAGCTCCCAGCTCCCAGCCTCAAAAGCGTCGCTGCGTCCATCTTCTTCCCGATCCTGGCCCGCACGGATCACGTCGCCGTTCTGATTTCCAGCGCTGACTTGTCGATGCTCGGCTCTTGTACGAGTCGGCGTCGCAGTCGTCTTTGATTCGTCTCAAACACACCGTGACGTAGAGTGGCTCCATCGCGACCTCGCGCACGGGCATGACAAATGGGCTTGACTCGATCGGGCAATTGAGGAGCGTGCGCCGTGCTTCGTGCGTCGTGGCCAAAGGTCAGGTGGAGTCAAACACGTCTGGTCGGCGCGAGGATTGGAAGATCCGCGTTTCGGATGCGCCTGTTCGGTATTTTCCTGTTGACAGCTGTCCGCGTGGCGCGCTAAAGTGTATTCGTGTTAATGGCTCCAACCCGCGTCCGCACGCGCCGTGTCGGTACAGGTCACATGACATCCACTTGTTTCCCACTTTTCCCTGCCTCACTTTCCTGCCTGTCATTATTTCTCGCACTTTTTTCTTGCCGATTCCCTTTTCGAGCAATGCCTTCCCGAAGCGAAACCGCTGCAGCAGCCAGGCGCGATCGGGCACCCTCGTCCCACCTCACCCAGCACATCATAAGCAGCAAGGCAAGGACGCACACAGACGCAAACAAAGGCACCACTGTCACGCAACTTGGACCGAGGAACAATTGCCTCGCCTTCTGGCCCACACCTCTGTCACTCGAGGTTCGAGCATCGGTCAGGGTCCAGCACAGTCCAGCCCGATGTGGTAAATGGAGACAAAGATGTTAGGCCCCACGACAGCCCGTCTCGAGGTGGAGGCGGCAACCAAATTTAGGCGCAGCTCAGCAGCGCAAGTCAGCAAAGCCGGACTTGGCTGAGTCGCAAGAAGAATGAAACGGCTGTTTCCACTGCTCAGACCACCTCGGCCCCTCGTCATCCCCACATCACCTACTCGACAGTCAACAGCGGCATCGGTCGTTCGTATAGACGCATTCGACCATTCACCGCCATCCAAGACCCAACATGTCGCTCCAGGATCATCTGCGCTCCTACCTCCCCACCGCCTCCACCTCCCGCACCACGCTCGATGTCGACCACTCGCTCGTGGCGTCGCTTCAAACCCAACTGGACGCCCTCCTCGGCTCTGGCGAGCGAGCAACCGCGCCTGCAAAACCTAAAGACAACCACAAGCCGCGCGCAAGCAGTCTCTGGTCGCAGCTGCGAGCACTCGATCGCCCAGACCAATACTCTAGCTCCCACGACGCGCCTCAACACGCCTACGAACCGGATACAGCTTCGGCAGAGCTGTGGGACCAGGCGGACTACCATCCCTCACGCTCCTCGTCCGCCGCAATCGGCGGTGTGGAAGACCATCTCGCCCACCTCTCGGCTGCAGATCCACAACTTGCAGAGAGCCTTCGTCAGACCATCACTTCCATCCTCTCCTCTTCTCGCTCCGGCGACGAAATCTCGGCCGAGCTCGCAGAAGCCATCGGCTTTGAGCATCTCGAACTCGTAGGAAGCATCGTCGCCGATCGTCAAGATGTACTCGCTGCGCTCCAGTCCCACCACCCCAGCTCCCCCGCACAGAATGGTGCAAACGGTCTCCACTCCCACCAACCCATCGAAATCGCCCTGCCGCAAAGGAATCATCAGAACCATGCCAATACGCACGACGCCTTCCATAGCGGCAGCCGTCCTCACATCCCCGGCTCTCAAGTTATCGTGCAGACTCAAGAGGAGCGTCAGCAGGCACGCCGATTCAAGAACGATCTGCGCAAGGCCAACCGTCAGCGCGCCGAAGATCCCGCAGACAGCATCCGCACATACACTGCAGAGGAGCTCGAACTCATCCGCGAACAGAGCCTCGCCGCCGCTGCGGATCGACCGCTCTTCACGAGCGCACCCACTGGCGGCGACCAGGTACGCTATCCGCACGTCTTTTCGTCAGGCGCACAGGGCAACGTCCTCTCCGTCTTCGGACAGCGCTTCGCACTCCCCCTCGGCACCACCAGAGAGGAGAAGCAATTCTTCGAAGAGGTCACCATCCCGCCACCGCGCACCGTCCCCATGCGCACCGACGAGCGCTACATCCCCATCAACGAGATGGATCCCATCTGTCGCGGTGCCTTCCCGGGCTACAAGAGTCTCAACCGACTCCAGAGCGCCGTCTATCCGCTCGCCTACAAGACCAACGAGAACCTGCTCGTATGTGCCCCTACCGGCGCCGGTAAGACCGACGTGGCCATGCTCACCGTCATGCGTGCCATCAGTCAGTACGCTCGCAACATCGAACCCACCGCCGGCAACGCAGACAAGGGCTTCGACATCCGCAAGAACGACTTCAAGATCATCTACGTCGCTCCCATGAAGGCGCTCGCCGCCGAAGTCGTGCGCAAGTTCAGCAAGCGTCTCCAGTATCTCGGAATCAAGGTGCGCGAGCTCACCGGCGACATGCAGATGACCAGGCAGGAGATCGCCGAGACCCAGATGATCGTCACCACCCCGGAAAAGTGGGACGTCGTCACGCGCAAGCCCACCGGAGAAGGCGAGCTCGCCACCAAAGTGAGGCTCCTCATCATCGACGAGGTGCATCTGCTCCACGACGAGCGTGGCTCGGTCATCGAAACCATCGTGGCACGTACGCTCCGCCTCGTAGAGTCCAGCCAGTCGCTCATCCGCATCGTCGGCCTCTCCGCCACGCTGCCCAACTACGTCGACGTCGCCGACTTTCTGCGCGTCAACCGTTGGCAAGGCCTCTTCTACTTTGACTCCTCCTTCCGTCCCGTGCCCCTCGAGCAGCACTTCCTCGGCGTCAAGGGCAAGGCCGGCTCCCAGCAGGCGCGAGCCAACCTCGACAAGGCGTGCTACGAAAAGGTCTCGGAGCTCGTCCAGGCTGGCCATCAGGTCATGGTGTTTGTCCACGCAAGAAAGGAGACCGTCAAGACCGCACAGACACTAAGAGAGATGTTCCGAGAGGAGGCCATGGGCGACATTCTCCAGGACTCGGCCAACGAAAACCCGCGCAAGGCCTTCTTCAAGAAGGAGCTCCAGTCGAGCCGCAATCGAGAGATGAAGGAGCTCTTCGATGGCGGCTTTGGCATCCATCACGCCGGCATGCTGCGATCCGACCGCACCCTCAGCGAGCGCATGTTCGAGGCAGGTGTCACCAGGGTGCTCTGCTGTACTGCCACACTCGCCTGGGGAGTCAATCTGCCCGCCTACGCCGTCGTCATCAAGGGCACCGACGTCTACGACTCGTCCGCCGGCAAGTTTGTCGACCTGTCCATCCTCGACGTGCTCCAGATCTTTGGTCGTGCCGGTCGTCCGCAGTACGAGGATCTCGGCGTGGGCTACATCCTCACCTCGCACGACCGCCTGTCGCACTACGTCGATGCCATCACATCGCAGCACCCGATCGAGTCCAAGTTCATCGGCGGCCTCATCGACTCGCTCAACGCCGAAATCTCGCTCGGCACCGTGGCGAGCGTCAGCGACGGCGTCTCCTGGCTCGGCTACACCTACCTCTTTACCCGCATGAAGCGCACGCCTCTCACGTACGGCATGACGTACGACGAGGTGGCCGACGACCCGCATCTGGGCGCCAAGCGCCAGCAGCTCATCCACGTCGGCGTCAAGAAGCTCGTCGAGGCCAAGATGGTCGAGCACGACACCGTCACCGATCGCCTCAAGGTGACCGACCTGGGTCGCATCGCCGCCAAGTACTACATCGGTTACCGCACCATCGAGACGTTCAACGAACGCATGCGCAGCAACATGAGCGAAGCCGACGTGCTCGGCCTGCTCAGCCAAGCCGCCGATTTTGAGCAGATCGTGCCGCGCGACTCCGAGGAGAAGGAGCTCAAGAAGATGCTGGAGGCCGCTCCCTGCGAGGTCTCGGGCGGCATCGAGACGTCGCCGGGCAAGGTCAACATCCTGCTCCAGGCCTACATCTCGAGAACATTTATCGAGGACTTTGCTCTCGTCTCGGACTCGGCGTACGTGGCTCAGAATGCCGGTCGCATCATCCGGTCGCTGCTCGAGATCGCACTGAGCCGTCGCTGGGCGACCACCGCATCGGCGCTCATCTCGATGAGCAAAGCCATCGAGAAGCGCATGTGGCCCTTCGACCATCCGCTGCAGCAGTCGCACCTCAATCCCGACACCATCTACGCCGTCACCGAGCGTGCCGACGATGTCGAGATCGCCGACCTCGCAGAGATGGCGGCAGCCGAGATCGCCAAGCTCATCCGCGTGAATGCGAGGATGGGGAGTGCAGTGCGCCATGCAGCGCGCAGCTTCCCGCGCCTGCACACCTCAGCCTCGCTGCGTCCCCTCAGCCACGACCTGCTGCGCATCGACCTGCGTGTCGACCGCGCGTTCGAGTGGAGCGAGCGCGATCTCGGCCGCCTTCACGGCTTCTACATCTGGGTCGAGGACGAACAGGGCTCGGACATCCTCCAGTGGCTTACGCATCTGACCCGCGTCACCGACTCGCACACGTCGAGCGTGACGTTCACGATTCCTTTGGGCGACTCGTTGCCGTCGGGGCTTAATGTGCGGTGGATGTCGGATAGTTGGCTCGGTAGCGAGGGCAGCGAGTGGATCCCCTTTGACGACCTTGTCGTGCCCGACAAGCCACCCGCCCACGAGACGCTGCTCGATCTGCCCTTCCTCCCCGTGCGCTCGGCGCTGCACGACGAGCTCCTGTGCGAGATGTATGCGCAGAAGTTCAGCGCGTTCAATGCGATCCAGACGCAGAGCTTCCATACGCTCATGCACACGTCGGCGAATACGCTGCTGTGCGGGCCCACGGCGTCCGGCAAGTCGACGGTGGCAGCCATGGCCGTGTGGCGCGAGCTGCAGCAGTCGCGCAGAGGATGCATCATCGTGCTGCACCACAAGACCGACTTGCTCGCCTCGGCGTTCAAGGAGACGCTCGGCGTTGCGCTCAAGCAGAAAGAGGTCGAGATGATGCGCACGTCGCTCTCGAGCAAGGTGGCTCCCTTCGTGTGCAGGGGAAGCGGCGGCGCACGCGTGCTCTTCACCACGCCCATCAGTCTGCTTCGCGCGCTAAATGGGCGAGAGGATCTGGCGAACCACGTGTCGCTGCTGGTGGCGGAAGACATGCACCTCCTCGATGCCGGCTACGAACTGGCGCTGGCCAAGTTCATGTGGTGTGCTGCACGTGCCCGGGCCGCATCGGACGGCGGCGTCGAGGCTGCCATGCCGCGCATCGTGGCGACAAGTGCGAGCCTCAACGAMGCTCGCTCGCTGGCGCAGTGGATCGGTGCCGACGAGCTGTCGACGTACAACTTCCATCCGAAGGACCGGCCGTCGATCCTGACCACGAGCTTCCAGGCGTTCGACCTGCCGCATTCGAGCGGCCTGCTCAAGGCCATGATCAAGCCGGCGTTCGACAAGATGAAGGAGAGCCGGGCGCTTGGACCCGCCATCGTGGTGGTGCCTTCGGTGTGGCAGTGCTTCACGGTGGCTTCGGACCTCATCACCAAGGCGGCGGCGGAGATGGACACCAACGGCTACCTCGGCTTGCCGTCCGAGGAGATCGAGTCGATTCTGCCGCACGTGCTCGACACGTCGGTGCACGAGGCTCTCGTGCACGGCATCGGCATCGTGCACGAAAAGACGGTGCGCGAGGACCGTGCGCTCATCGAGCACCTCTACGAGCAAGGTCTCGTCAAGGTGCTGCTCACCACGCGTGACTGCCTGTGGAGCACCACACTCAGAGCGGCACTCGTGGTGGTGATGAGCACGCAGTACGTGCGCATCACCAAGGCGGGCAATACGGGCGCTTCCGACCGCGAGCTGGTCGACTATACGCTCGCCGAGCTCGGCAGGGCGCAGAGCCTGGCCGTCCGTCCGGGGACGCTGTCGGAGCCGCATCCGCCCGGCGAGTGTCTGGTGCTGTGTCAGACGGACAAGGTGGACATGCTCGACAAGATGTTGCGCATGGGCATGCCGCTGCACTCGTCGGTGCTGCAGGACGATCGTCGCAGCGAGCCGCTGCTGCCCATCGTGCTGGGCGAGATGGTGGAGGGCGTCCTGCAGAGCGAGGACCAAGTCATGGATCTGCTCAGCTGGACCATGCTTCCCGCCGAGCTGCTGCGCAATCCGACGTACTACGACTGCTCTGCCAGCGACGCCGCTTCGGTAGCAGCTCGCCTGACCCAAGTGTCGGACGCGCTTCTGACGACGCTGCGTGATCTGCGACTCGTCGAGAAGAAGCCGGAACAGGGCAGAGGCGGCAGGGCGGAGGATCTGCGGGCTACCGATCTCGGCCGTGCGCTCCACCTGCAGCCGGGCTCGACGCTGCTGCACGTGGTGCGCTGGTTCAACAATCTCGCCGCCAAGCCGAGCCGGGCTGCCAAGGAGATGGACACGTTTGTGCCGTCGCACCGCAACCGCCGCGACACGGATCCGATCGACCACAAGCCAGAGCGCGAGGTGCTCGAGGCCACGCTGACTCTGGTGCCTCCCGAGTGGCGCACTGCATTCCGCCTCTCTTCTCCCGGCAAGGCCGAGGAGAAGGAGTCGGCGGATGCAGCGGCGGAGGATGGTGCAGCGGCCGAGGCGAGCATCAAGGATTGGACGCATGGGCTCAAACACCGTCTGCTGCTGTGCATGTACTTTGCGCGACTCGATTTCATCACGCCTGCCACCGCAGCGTTTTTGGGCTTGAGCAGGCGCGCTCGGAAGAGGCAGCAGCAAGAACAGGGGCACGACCAAAGCGAAGATGCACAGCAGCACGCCTCGGAATCCAGCGCGGCGGGAGAGGCAGATGTCCATGCGCAGGCTATCGCCAAGCTCGAGACCGAGATGGAGGCGGACTTGCTGGCGCTCATGAGCTCGATCAGCAGTGTGGGTGGTAGAAATTAGCTTGCGCCATCGAGCGTCGCATTCGTATGATGGTAGCGAATTAGCAGCTTCGGCATCTAAACTAATTGTTTGCTCCGTGGATTTGCGGGGCAGAGTTGGAGTTGCGGCCTTTTTCGCGGCATGCGGCCGGGCTAAAAGCCGACAGCCGGAGAGCCTGAGCGGCCGAGGTGGAAGAATTTAGCACAAGACCTCGGCTCGCACAGACTTTTACTTGTCGACCTCGATCTCTGGATCTTGGACTCCCCACCCTTTCCCTCACCGACAGACTCGCACTGGATTGGACTCGTACCGGATCGGAACCTATATATCGCCACAATTCATATAGATCCCCACCCCTCTGGCGTTGGACGAGAGTGGCTTCAGACAGCTTCATCAGCGACACGCAAATATCTCGGTCCTTCGGCAGCTTTCGGCAAGCTTCCACCATCCCAGACATCCTGCATCGACCTGTTTCGAAGATGACATCTGCAGCGCCACAGGTGCTGTGCATTGGGTTTGGAGCGCTGGGGACGATCTACTCGTACCTGCTGGAGCGCGGGGGTGCGCAAGTCACTGCCGTCGCTCGATCGAACTATACGGCGCTTACCACCTCGGGGATCCAGATCTCGTCGGCCAAGTACGGCGAGATTGCCGGATGGAAGCCGCACCGAGCGGTACGGGAGAGTGAACCCTCGAGCGCGTGCGATCGCGACTACGACTTTGTAGTGTGCACGTTCAAGAACGTTCCGGACCACAAGAGCGCCTCGTCGATCATCCGACCCTTTCTGCGATCGGGCAGCTTGCCGGCGATCGTGCTGCTGCAGAACGGGGTGGATATCGAGGAAGAGGTGCATCGGTCGCTTGTTCGGTGCGATCCGCCAGTTGCTAGTGCGGTGCTGAGTGCTGTCGCATGGATCGGAGCCAACCTGGCCGATGCCGGAAGCAAGGTCGTTCATGGGGCGCTCGAGAGGCTTGAAATGGGCGTATACCCAGCACCCACCCAATCCCTTCTCGACGACGGACGCAGGAAGCCGAGCGAGCAAGATCAAAAGGCGCTGGAGGCGTTTGCGGCGATCTATGCGGCAGGTGGGGGTGGTGGTGAGGCGGTGGAGGATATCGAGGCGGTGCGGTGGAAAAAGGTGCTCTGGAACGCTGCCTGGGGCGGACTCTCGACGCTCGCACGCCAACCGGTCTCGACGCTGCTGCTCGACGAAACGCTGCACTACAGTGTTGGTGTGGTGCGTCGAACCATGCTCGAGATCGTCTATGTCGCGCGCGCCTGTGGGCTCAACGAGACGCGATTTCCCATGGCAGCCGTAGACAATGCCGTCAACATCACCCTCTCCACCTCGAGCGTTCCGGGCGTTCAGGACCCTGCAAAGGGCGGAAATCTGGCTCCGGCATTCAAACCGAGCATCCTGCTCGACCTCGAAAACGGCCGACCCATGGAACTCGAGGTGATCATTGGGAATATTGTGCGCCAGGCAAGAAGGCACAATGTCGACACGCCGAGACTCGACCTCATCCTCGCCACGCTCAAGCTCAACCAGATCCACGCCATCAGGGCTGCAAAGCAGCGCGATGGAAGCGAGGGCGAGCAGAGCGGCGATGCGGTCACCACCTTCTCCCAGCTCAAGGCTACGTCGCGAGGCAACTGGCCCGCCGGCGCACCCGTCTCGCAAAACCCCCACACGTATCTCTAAATCCCCCCCCAACCCCCTCTCTTCCATTCCACCCCTCCGTTCATCTTCATCAAAGTTCCGATCCCAGAGCGACAGTGTTGAACGTGCAGGCGTGTGAAGGAAGCGTCCATTGCAGAGGTCTCGGTGCGGGTATAGGGTAAGTGCTAGTGGACGAGGCTGTACAGAACAAAGAGCAACACGACGCCGCTGAAGCCGGACAGCGCGAGCACCTTGGTGTTCTTCCACCACATCTGTCTCCTCAACCCCACTGCTCTCCTTCTAAACGCCATGGACTGGTTGGCTGCATTGTCGGTACGGTCCATGAGCAGCTCGATGCGCTCGCCCCTGCTTAGGATCTGCTCCACGTTCTGCGTCATGATGTCCTTGGCCCCCGCCAGCTCGTTCTTCGCCTGGGCGATCGGATCCACCGCCTGGGGGTCCGCATTGAACCGCCCCACCATCTCCTTGAGCGTCTTGCTCAACCCACTGTAGTCCGTCGATCCCACCTCGTCTTCGAGGGGCACCTCATAACTCGCCAAGAACTAACCACATTTATCAGTAAAGGGCTTTTAGCAGAGGAAGGGGAAGGGGGCTTACCTTTTTCTGGACGTGGGCGAGGAAGGTGAACGGGATGCGTCGACCCGTCTCTGCGTCGGCGACAGCCATGTACACCATGCCGTCTTGCGAGACGTAGTGGAAGAGCCACTCTTCGAACGCGTACGACAGCTTCGAAGAGTTGGGCGGGATGCGCGAGAGGATCGTCTGCGCTGCGGGGAGGAAGCGGTCGTGTTCGGGGTCGTGCGTCTCGGCAAGCACGTGCGAGCCGCGGGCTACGAGCGCCAACACGATCATGGTCGTCGATTCACCGCGTGGGCGCCTCTATTCGTCTAGAAAGGGTGGGTGTATGCGCGCCAGAGTCTGGGAGATCCAAGTGCCTGTACGGTGTGCGATGGACGTGGCGCGGTCTATGCGAACCGGGTGACGTGGTGGTGGTGGTGGTGGTGGTGGTGGTGGTGGTGGCGGTGGGGGTGGTGGTGGCGGGGGTGGGGGGGGTGGCGGCGACGGTGGTGGTGGCGGCGGCGGGGGAGGCGGTAGGGGTGGTGGTGGTGGTGGTGGTGGGTGTTGTTGTGTGTGGTTTGGTGGTTTTTGTGTTTTTGTTGCTGTGGTTGTGAGTGTTTCGGCGGCGTTCGGGGGTGACGAGGGTGGGCGGGTGGTCGGTGGGTTGGTCTGTGGTGGTGGTGGTGGTGGTGGTGGTGGTGGTGGTGGTGGTGGTGGTGGTGGTGGTGGTGGTGGTGGTGGTGGTGGTGGTGGTGGTGGTGGTGGTGGTGGTAGGAGGAGATGGAGAGCAGGTGCAGATGCAACGGCTGAGCGAGAACGTGGGGCGTTGCGTCATGCAGCCGGCGAAATTTCTCAAATGTCGACTCAACAGATCTGACATTGAAGGGGCAGAAAAAATCATCGGGCTCAGCATCGGACGCCGTGCATTTCCCCGGAGTTGGAGCCGGCTCGCGGCCATGTGGGGTAACGCACGGATGTCCGGCTCTCGGTGGACCCGGTCAGACGGTAGAACCCCCCTTCGCAGTCCCGTCGCCTCCTCCTCCTCCTTCTTCATATATACCATCTCCTGCGCTCTCGACTCGCCCCTTCTTAATCCTCGTTCCTAGTTCCCGCATCGCACGGCGTACAATCTTCGTTGCTGGATCTCGCATTTCACGGCGCACCAAATTGACATCATGGCGGCCCCCATCACGCCTGCGCCTTCGCAGCCGCTCGTGTGGCAGGCGACGGCGGACGACATCCAGGGCTCGGCGATCGACAAGTTTCGCCGCCTGGTCAATGCACGTCACAACCTCAACCTCACCACGTACCACGAGCTGCACGACTTCTCCATCAACCGGATGAGCGACTTCTGGGCGGCCGTGTGGGACTATGCGGGCATCCGCGCCTCGGTGCGCTTCGACAAGGTGCTCTCGGATCCGGATGCGCTGCCGGGCGATCTGCCCGAGTGGTTCCCCGGTGCGCGCTTCTCCATGGCGCAGAACCTGCTCTTCCCGCTCCACCCGTCCAACACGACGTTCTGCTCGCCCAAGGCGCCGTACCACTGGCCGCACGCCAACGCCACCGCGCTCATCGAGGTGCCCGAGGGTGGCGGTCTGGCCGACTCGGGCCCGAACGCTCAGGCGGCCAACGTGTCCTGGGGCGAGCTCAGAAGGAGGGTGGCGCTGCTCGCAGAGACGTTCCGCAGGATCGGAGTCAAGAAGGGCGATCGCCTCGCACATGTGTCGGCCAACACCGCATCGCCCATCGTGGCCACACTGGCGTCCAACAGCGTCGGTGCGATCTACTCGCTCATCGCAACCGATGCGGGGCCGCAGGCGATCTATGGCCGACTCGCACAGATCCGCCCCAAGCTGCTCTTCACCGACGATGCCGTGCTGTACAACGGCAAGCAGGTCGACATCCTCGACCGCGTCGCCGGCGTCGCTGAACGGCTCCAGGAGGACGACAAGCTCGACTCGCCGCTCACATTCCAGGTCGTCATCATCCGCAACCGTCGTCTTCCCAACGCAAGCCCCGCGTGGAAGTCGGCCAAAATCAAGGGCGTCGAGATGGAATCCTTTATTACGCAGACCGGCCTGCAGCTCTCCGACTCGCCCGCACACCGGTTCGAGCAGCTCCCCGCTCAGCATCCCGTACAGATCTTCTTTTCAAGCGGCACGACGGGCGAACCAAAGAGTATCGTTCATACTCAAGCACTACTTTGCAATATGAAGAAAGAGGCGTTGTTGATGATGGACTTGCGTCCAAGCGACAAGTTTCTCCAGATCACGTCGACGGGCTGGATCATGTGGGTGTACAACCTCGTTTCGCTCTCGATGGGTGCAACTGCCGTGCTGTACGATGGATCACCCATGTACCCCAACCCGGCCCACGTCGTTCGTCTCGTCGACCACCTCGACTGCTCCGGCTATGGTGCTAGCCCGCGCTTCCTCAGCGAGCTCGAGAAGTACTGCTCCGAAAACAGCCTCAGCATCTCACGCAACCTCAAGCTGCGCAAGTTCCGGCTCATGACCAGCACCGGTTCGCCGCTGTCGCCCAAGAACGTCGAGTTCTTCTACAACAACTTCCCCAAGTCGGCCCATCTGTGCAGCATCTCGGGCGGGACCGACATGGCTGGCGTGCTCGTTGGCCCAACCAAGATGCTTCCGCTGTACGGCAACTTTATCCAGTGCAAGGCGCTTGGATTCGACATCCAGGTGTGGGACCCCGAAACGGGCGAGCGCATCGACGATACGGGCAAGCCGGGCGAACTCATCGTCGCCAAACCATTCCCCACCCAACCGGTAAGTCTGACCGTGCTCAGGCGTGGGTTAGCACTAGCGAGATAAAGTACTGATCGTTGTTCTTGGCGAGGATAGACGGGATTCTTTGGGCCTCCGGAGCAGAAGCAGGCGCTGTACGAAAAGTACATGGACTCGTACTACACCCGCTTCCCCGGTCGCAAAGTGTGGGCCCAGGGCGACTTTATCTACCAAGACACAATCACCAAAGGCCTCGAGATCCTAGGCCGTTCCGATGGCGTTCTCAACCCCGTAAGTCCCTCTCCACCACTCTTCATATTGACTTTACTGACGTTTGAACTTGCGGTGTGAGATTGTGCAGAGTGGCGTGCGCTTTGGATCGGCCGAGATCTACTCTGTGGTGGAGAAGTTCGAGTTTGTGGGCGACAGTATCGTTGTGGGTCAGCGACGTGCGGGCAAGGACGAGCACGAGCGCGTGCTGCTCTTTATCAAGATGCGCGAGCCCAATGCCACACTATCGGCAGCGCAGATCAGCCAACTCAACCAGGCGATCAAGAGCGCCTACTCGTCGCGCCACGTTCCCGAACACACGTTCCAGGTCGCCGACATTCCCGTCACGCTCAACGGCAAAAAGACCGAACTCGCCGTCAAGGCCGTCGTCAACGGCAATGCCGCCTTCAAACCCTCCAGCGTAAGTCTTTCCAGCTACAGTAGATGGCACAATGGGGCTCTTTGCTGATACGACCTCGGTCATGTTGTTCTTACAGGCGACGGCCAATCCGCAAAGTCTGGAGGAATACGCTCAGTACGCTGATCTCGAAGCGGTGCTGGCAAAACGCCGCGCTTCCAAGCTGTAGCAGTCGATGGTCAAGTGTAGCAATGGCGACGTGAATGTTTCCGGAACTCCAGAGTGAATTTGAAATGCTATTAATAAAAAAGAAATGGAAAAAAAACTGCAGCACCTAGGATTCCCGCGTGGTCCCCCACCGCAGTACTGACTAGGCGATACCTTGCTTAACTTCGCAGATCGGACGGGATGCGGTGCTTTCAAGGTTCTATGGCCGCAGAT